ACTAAACATAACATATATATAATAATTATTATATTATTATACATATTAGATCGTGTAACATGAAATGTCGGATTTTGTGAGAAAAGGGAATGATGTGATGTTCTAAGAGACGTTTATTCAATTAAAACATGCTCTATTCGATTCGATACACTCCTGCCACCATGTTTTTAATGAATATATTCCTTTTTGAAAACTTCTGAACGTTTAGAATAAATAAACTCTAAAATCGTCGTTATGAACTACTGTTTCCGGTTTACCACGCTCATTTTGCAAAGAAACCACCGAAATGAAATTTTGCAAATCAAAGCTGTACTAGTCTTTCATTCGCAGTGTTGTCTCTAAATGCTTTCTTTATATTTTCAGCGAATTTTGTAGTATTATTTCTAAGTTTGAATTCATATAAGAAAACTACACGAATGTTGGCGGTATCCACGTTTTCGAGAAACAACGCAGGAAATAGTTATTACGCGTGATTCGTCGAAACTTGTTTGCAGGAAGTTACCCTGGTAGTCGACAATGAAACTGTTTAACAGGTTATACGAATAACAAAGGAACAACAACAGGGATACAAACATTTATGAGTAAGAAAAATCCGACGTTTCATATTGCACGACCTAATACTTATATGAAGGCTGTTTCTCACGTGTTCACTTTCATCTCGAACACTTTAAAATATACAATCCTATAGATTGTACTTCACATTGAATGTGATTATTTAATTATTTCTTATTTAATTATTTTCCTGTGTCCAAAGACACACTTTAATGTGAGAATATTTAAAATATACGAAAACAACAGAAATGAGACGTTGTACTTACGTGATCGCTAAATGAAAGCCACGACAGCTTATACTAATGAAAAAAATGTTTCTCTACCATTCTACATAATTATATTATCATTGTTGCGATGAAATTGAAGTTCACTCTCATGTGTAGCAATGATTGTATGTTTTTCGCTGATGGTATTGACGACGTGGAAAATCAACCAACGGGAATGAATGATCTAGACATGTTAATACACAGGTTTAGTCACGCTAACCTTCAATGAAAAAGGTTTCAGATCCTCCTCTTAATAGACTCGTTGAGCCAATTTATACGAAACAAGTGTTTCGAAACCCGAGCATTAAAAGGAACCACAAAGACAGAAACTGGTGGGGAGCAGCTTCCATCTTAGGCCAAGAAGACAATTGCATCTCGGATATGAGTACAAATTCTTTAATCACTGTAATAGCTACGAAGAAAAATAATTCCTGTCAACCTCTGTCTCTATTTTAACCCCTTGAACTCGATGGCTCTGGAGCAGAGTCGTTTAAAACTTTCCGTCGCGAACTGTAAAATTTTCTCTTTAAATATATTATAAGATTTATATCTATAATCTATGGAAAACAATAAAATACGTCTATGTCTTCTCATTTCATGTGCATAGAATTTATTTATATGTTAATATGTTTTTTATATCAAAATTCCTTCGAATTGCTGGTGACATTAGTGAGAGCTTCGAGTGCAAAGGGTTAATACTTCCTGGCAAAATGGAGGAAGTTAAAATATTAAATGTCAATTTCGTCGATGTGAATTTTAAATTGTTTCATTCTATTTTTAACACGCGATAAAGCATGAAAGGCAGTATTCGCAGTAAATAAAGGCTTACACAAATCGAATTGTTAAATTATGGATGTTTGACACATGTAAATATAAGTAAACAATTTACATCTTGTATAAAAAGGAGAAGTTGAAGTATACTACAAAAACATTGGTGTGCACAATTATTTGCGAATTCCTTTGTCAGTCAAAGTGTACACACTTTTCAAATAAAGGTTATTTACAGATAATTACGTTCTTTAAAATAAGTCCTTCTTAGCACTAACAGTACCGGCACTTTCTATGCATCAATTCAAATTTGTAAAATAAAACTAAACAAGTTAGACGGTACATTTCTCTCAGTGCGAGCAGAAACAAAGGAAAAGACGAAAATTGAGAAACTGATTAATCCGATGATATAGGAATTGATATAAGGTTAAACGAACGAAACAAAAACAGAATTTTAAATCATATTTTGAAACCGGTGGTAATCATATTCTTCATTAAATATTCGAGTGAAAGATTTCTGAAACAAAATGAATTGAAAGGCATTGAATGAAATAACTCTTTTATTTTCCTTGCAGACGAGGACTTCCAATCGTATCGCTCTTAGTGCGATGACCCGTGACAACAATTTTTCGGTGCAACAGTGAGGTAGTTTTCCGTCTGATGATTTCTCTTTCACGATTATCGATGTTTGATACATAACAACTGAATAAATAGAAGCAACGTATTGAACAAACCTCATTAATTAAATGCAAGTGGCAATGACGCTATACCGATAAATGTCGAGCCTCCGATTTTCCTTTTGCTCGTTCAATATTTTGCGTAAAATAAAGGAAACATTTAAAAATAGCATTAGTCTTTGCGTCTTAATTTTCAAATTATTTACATCTATTATTATTAAGCAAATGCAATTGCAAAAGCTATTTCTTTTTAATTTCTCGTTCCTGAAAAGTGCAGAGAAGTTTAATGATTATTTAATTATATGTTATTCTTTATTAAATTTTAATACTTATTAAATAAGTGTATTACATAATAAACTTGGATAACCATGGGTATTAATTTTTTTTTTAATCAATTTTACAAAATCTAAGTAATTTATATATTTGCAGAATTTCAACGTTTCTCTAACTTCAGAATCTTAGACAATTTGAACTTATTGTTACATATGTAGCTTGTTTTCTTATCAGAAGCAAAGTAGACATTTGTCGACGTAACGCCGTACATTGGTATCACTCCCTACTACACAGTCGGGAAGGAAGAAGATAGCCAGGCGCAAGTGATTAATCATGCGAATATATTTATTACAACACTCAGAAACATATCTTGCATTAAAATACTGAACTAGCATAAAAAATAACATAACAGTGAAATTTGATATCCAAAGTTCTCAAATATTATAATAATATATAAAATCTAGTATAATTTCAATTAAAATATACCGTGCAACTAGTAAATCACATAAACAAAATATATACTGTTAGAAATATTCAGCTTCAGAACATTCATCATTTGTTTCATAAATCGACAACATTTTCGTTTTGTTTAATAATGAAACTTATCTATTTCAAAATATTTATTCCTCCCGATACAGTTTATTCAATAATCACCCAGTTGTAATATTATTTACATAATTATCTATATAAGAAACATTATCTACGGGATAATCTAATACTTATACAAAACAATACTTCTATTTCCCCTGTCGTTCGCAGAATTGCAGTGCAACAAACTAATATTTGTAGAACGCGAGAGTATCGAAGTTAGTCACGTATGCGTTTGAAAGTGAACGCGCCACGAAAGCATCAATCGAGAGCGAAAGTGGTGCGAGAGAAATATAGGATACGGGCCCAATAGCCCACTTTTACCGACCTCAATTTCACTCACCTACATCTGCCTACCCACGACCGAGTTCGCGGGTTTCGTTTCGGTCCGTTTTCACTTTCGCCGGCTGCTGGCGTCGTCCTGACCCGACCCAACTCAGATTTCTATTAACCCGGCACTCGATTGTCGGACAGATCTCTCCGAGGAAACTGGAGTGTCCTGGGTCAGGATCACGCTCGCTTTCGCCGTGCGCTCGCTCCCGTCTCAGCCACTTTCGATCTCCGTCGACTTTCGATTTCGTTCGCCGCACCAAAACTGATCCTTGCCTACGAGCTACACCGGAAACCGCGCGACTCCCAAGGAAAGGTAACGAACCTGGAAATTCGAGAACTCGTAAAACTTTCCGTGTAAACAGAGCAAGTCGAATCTGATACGTTGCGATTTTTCTTCGTGTCGAATTGCACTTCGAAGGGATGAAACCATCCCCTGAAGAGAATCTAAACTTTCCTTCCCCGTAGATTATTTTAAAAACGGTAGAAGATTCCGGAAAAAAGCTTTCGTCTATAAAATTGCAAAATAAAATTTGTAGAAAGTTCGAAGTCTTTGAAATTCTGATTTTGGGAATGATTCATTTGAACTTCTGTAATTCACAGAAATCTGTAAATTCTATCAAAGATGCTATTAACCCTTAGCACTCCATGTTGTTTTATAATCTGTCAGCAACTGCAACTAATTTTCATTTCTTCGACCTTTTATTTTCCTTCTTAGTACAAAATTTGGATGCGTGGAAAATCGAATAATTTTAGGGCAGTTTCTTTAAGATTCATTGAAACATTTAATATTACAACTGGCGCGATATTGGAGCCTACAGAGTTCAAAGGGTTAATATCCGAACAAATTCTAAAACTATTATAATTTATCAATCTTTCAGATACCAAATTTCAGAGAATCAGTAGCTTGAAAGTCCTAAGATCCGCTTTTTAGACGTAGTTTTTATTAATGCAATGATTTATTGAAATCAAATTTCTTACATACACTCCTGTAGTTTCGGTTGCATTATAAAGGCGTCCCTTCAGCACCTGAACTTCCTCAACCAGTTATACACAACTGCTTACAGTGTAGTACTATAGGATCAGTTCCAAAGTTCCATTACCGTTTTATCACACGCGAATAATCACAGTGTGAATATAACATTTCGATACGAAATTACTAATTACGACTTTATATCACCGCCGAGTCGCAATATATTATATTTGTGGTTACATGACAAAACAACATGAATCGTAACTTTCATGAAACATCAATTTACATGTTTATAAACACTTACGAATGGGGTTCTTTTCTCGGTTGAGATTGCATTAAAATTTTGTATCTCTCTGTTAAAATAAAGAATTCTTTCTGAAAAGGAGGTTATCGATGAATGAAACATTAAAAAGTGACGTCTTAAAACGGAAGACATGTGGCTTAGTGTGTTCCGTTTTGCGAGATGAGAAATATTTGTTTGCTATTCGTGCGAAACTTACGTAGGCATGATTCGGTATGTTCCATTCAATGTGTGACAAATGTTTGTTACCTGTTGGGCGAGATGAATCATTGGAATAATAGTTATAAATTTCGAGCAGAAGGCGCGATAAGGAGCAGTTATCACTGAACGACTGTATAAAAGAACCTCGTGGATCTCCAACTAACAGTAGTACAACAACGTGATGCTGTGTTATGTGTTCAGTGTTTGATGAACGTTGCTGAAATGAAAGGTAATTGTTGCAAACCAAATACTCACTATTATAAAGAATGACGTACATGAAATTTAGGAAACTAAATATTTGTATAATTTATTCTGTTTATGATGAGTCTACTAGACCGAATTTATTAAATCAAATAATAGACGATACATTTATTAATATACACTTCTGATTTATAATTTGTGTTCCTGTTCTTGAAATTTATATTTATTTATATATTTAATCAATCTGATACGTATAAAGGATATTACTAAATTTCTTAAAATTATTTATGTTGACGTATAACGATGTTATATTTATTGAATTCATTTGTTTGACTTAATTGAAAAATAATGGAGTAATGTTGTTCAATAATGTGCAACGTTGATATATTAAATTAACACATATGGATTTATAATAATACATTTATTTTTCATTAATAGGTACTGGTATTTTAATAATTGCTGTTTTATTCGTTCATATCCACGGAGTTTCCTTGGAAAAGCCGGAATGGCTAACAGCACTGGAGAAACGTCGAGAAGAGAATGCGTTGAAAAAAGAGAGGCTACTGTCTCTTATCCTCGATTTAAAGAATAAAGGAAACCCAGAAAACAATACTTACGAACAGTTGATAATAAATCTGAAAAATCGCGGAGATGAAAATGATCCCACGAACACTGACAAGCGGAGATTACCACCAAATTTATTGTCGTTATTGAAGAATGACGAGAACAAAAATTCAGATCAACCTGAAAAAGAACCTGATCAAAAGAATCGCCGCAAAAGAGATTCCAACAAGAACAATGTTATAAATCCAGATTCGAGTGAGGAGAACTCTAGCGACGATGATTCTGACGAATCTAATAACGACAAGGATAATGTAATCAAAGAATCTGGCCGAAACAATCCTGGAAGAAACTCACACAAAAAGAGCTCCAAGAAAGACAAGTCTAGTAAGAAACTAAACTCCGATGACGATTCTAATGACAGCGATAGTAACGAGGCAAACAACGATAACGAGTCCCGCCAAAAAGATTCCCACAGAAGAAATTTAGGCAAAGATGATACGGAAGAAGATAATTCCTCGGAAGAGGAATCGAGGAACTCATCTAAACAAAATTCTAAAGATAAGACGAAAAAATGGGACTGGATCAGGAAACATGTAGAAATTCAGAGAAAGATACAAAGCAAACTGGCACAGAATAATAATACTGATCATTGGAACGTATCGATATCTAATTTTAATCTATGGCACGAACGTAAATTGAATTCAGCCAAGCAGAGAATTTTGAATATTTGTAACATCTCGTCTGAAGTTGGGCAAGAGAATATTCGTGAGTTGATAGGGAAGTGCAAGAGAGATTACGCTATTGCATGGAAAAATACGTCATTGCCATGGGTAATTGTTAAGTTGAAATCTTTGAACGACCAATACCAAATATCGTCGACAGGGAATGAGAAAAACTGGACAAATAATTCAACGGTTCAACGAGTTTTAGATACGTTGAACAAGTTGAAAGTGAATAACGAGTCGCTATTAACTTTGTTGTCGCAAAGACAAAATCAAGAGGAAATTATAAAAGCATTAACTTCGGCAAATGAATCTGCAGTATCGGCAAATATCGGTATCGACCAAGGACACGGTTCAAGAAATATCGGCGGTGCATCTGTTTCAATATCAACATCGACAGACTTGGGCATTCCTGCTGATAAGGATATCGGGAAAGGTAAAATTATAACTTAAGCATGATCGTCGATTTCAATTATTCTTAAGAGATATAAATTTTTGAAATGCAGTGCAGTAAAAACTTTAACGTCACTTTGGTAATTTAATTTAATCAACGACAATCCCCCGTTATAAAATGAATACATTAGACTATGATTATTATATTAATAGCAAAACTTATTGAAAATTTCAATTTATATAGAAAAATTAGAAAGTCAAAAATTACTTTCTTCATGATTTCAATGAATTAAAAACAAATTCAAATTTTATGATATACTTTTAACAATTTCTTAATCTTACTTAGTTATTTGATAATGAATTATTATGACAGAGATATATATTTGCGTGATAGTTTATCTCTGTTTAAAATTTCTTATTGAAATCTTTGATCAGCTTATTAGAAGATAATGCGCAATGATAATGCTTCTTCAAGAATCATTTTGATAAGGTATTGACTCTTTCAAATAATTTATCCTTTCTTATCAAATATTTGTTACTTTTATCTGAATATCATACATTATATTATCGGATGATACATTGTGTTGAATAATTCAAGTGGTCAGCCGAAGTATTAATAATTAATTAATCGTTCAACCTTGCATGCATTTAGGACACACTATGTATTAAGCACGAGGACGGCTAAATACCTTGTATTTAGTCTATGCTAACTTCTTAATATGAAAAGATTACTCGCCATTACACCTGAGAAATATTTGATAAAGTAAACTGAAAAAAGAATTATATAATATATTTACGTAATACTTCACACTAATCGAAACGAAAAATGCGATTTAAATCACTTAGAAAGCAACAATGTAATATTTAAAAACTGGCATGCTATACTTACCATTGATTGACATGTTGTAATTAAACTTTACGTAATATGTATACCAACCTAATGACTTCGTATACATTTGTTACAAAGCATTTCCATCGCAATATTTACAGTTGGGCATTGATTAAAGAACATGAATAAATCGATGTTCATCGAACGGTCAAGGCCTGAAAAGAAGAAACTAAAAGTGTGACTTGCATGCACGATAGACAAATCTAACCAAATAAGAACAAATCTAACTATAAATTTTATAGCAAATAAATTCACGGTAACAAGTGCTTTGTCACTCGACCCTTCTTCGACGAATCTTTTTCCTTCAAAGGGGAAATATTGGAGGACAATGTTTAAATCATTTGTTTCATTCATAAATAAGTGTGCATTTTATCGTATAAGCATTTGCTTCAAATATTTTAAGTTACGGCGATATTTTATTTTCGTGTGGTAATCTCATGAATTTACATGACTGTTCACAGTTTCAGTACGTGTATTGCATGAAAGATTCGATTTTATAACTTCTAGAGAACTCGATGTGTATCAATGGATGAAAGCAGAATAATTTTTGAACTTTATTCTTTTACTTAATATTCCAACTTTTCTATTATATTTATTAGAAATAGAATAGATTTGTTTTCAAGGGCTATCCAAAAGAATTGATCATCATCAGTTATTTCCTCGTAGTGTGTTCAAAAATTCATCCATCGTTGAAAGACACATCTAACAGAGAAAAATAAGACTATAATTCAAGCGTCCATTGTTTAATCATTCATTAGAATACTTTTAATTTTCTGGAACTTAGAAATTATTAAAATATAATATAAAAATACTATATCAGTTACAATTTCATACATATTTTGTTATACGAATTGTATTATATAATCTATAGTACTGTTCGTTCTAATAGTATATTACATAATGCATCAGAAATAAAATTATTTGTTTTAGTGGGGGAAGAGCAGCAACTGGAAGACACCACTTCCTTGTCGATCAATAAAATACTTACCAATGATGAAAATAATCAGGCAAATTTAAATGATCTCGAGGGAAATACGAAACCAGGTAATAATGAAACAGTGGAATTGTCACAAACCGATGAAAAGGTTGCAATATCTGGTGAACCGGAAGCTGAAACCTTGCAGTCAAAGACAAATTCCACAGACAAACCATTTGAGAGTGAGAAGAAAAATACAGATTTAATTTCAACTATTCGGCCATTATTCCATCAAGAAAATAAAGTTAATAATGCAAGTGAGATTGCTACTACTATTGAAAGCACTGAAAAGGTTACAACCGAATCAAATAACATCGAAAACAATAGAGAATATTCTGTAAATAATGAAAATAAAACATTGGATCTAAATGTTAATGGATCTGCAATTGGCGATAAACAAATACAACAATCTGTTTCCAAAATAGATGAACTTATTGCAGAGAACAGAGAACAAATAGGTGAACATGTAAATGAAAATGTGGAAATTAATGACATTAACGGGGCTAATATCAATAACATTGACGAATCGTCCAACGATACTTATGTCAGAATTGATCCAAATGTTAAGTTGGTTTCAGTAAAAGTGAATGATATTGAAGCAACGAGTAGTCAAACAGAAAGCTCTACTTCTGAAAATGAGAAACAAACGACAAGCGAAAATCAAACGGTCAACGATGATGGAGTTGATGAAAGTACGAGTACTATAAGAACTCAAACAGAGATATCTTATGAAAACAATGAAATACCTAACGATACGATTACTAACTTCGAGAATTTGGAACAACCTCTGTGAAAATTAGTGACAACGGAATGAAAATTGTGAGAAGGAGTTAATATCTGAATTTATTGTTTGGACTTCTCCAAGTTAAGGCTTGAATAATTCCAATTTTTGAGAATATATTAATAAAAATTGATTACGAAGTAAATTCCCGTTCATTCTTTGCACAAAAAGTGAAGTTGGACAGTGGAAGAGGACAATAATGTAACTAATAATGAGTTAATAAATGTATAGAATATTAGCTATAACTTATAAAATTAAAAAACTAATAGATTTATAAAATATTATACCTTAGTATTATATATTATGAAATATACATGTGAGTAATTCATCGAATTGTGGCGAGTAATAAAGAACCGTTGGTAAATAAAATATTTCACAAGGAAAATGTATTTTCATTCTCAATTAGTAATTACAAATAAATATTATAATAATTGTAAATAACAATCCTACATTCCTAAATTATCGAGATTCTAATATAAGAATTTCGTGTGATTTAATATACGTTTAGAAAAGAAATTTAATAATTCTGAATAATGTTATAATAAAGTTAAGACCTTCTATTGCGTCATTTGTTTAAAAAGTGAAAATATTAATGAAAGAAGGTGTATGCAATTTATCCATATTATTAACATGAAAAAAGTCTGTAGAAAGAGAGTAATTTACTCTCACTTCAATGCTTATTAAGTGTCAGCAATTAGTTTAATACACGAAATAGCGAACGGTACCTCAAGCTGTAAATTCTTCGCAGATCTGTGCACATTCGTGACTAGCACGTCACGCGATATATGCAGACGCCATTTATAGCGTCATTTTTAGAATGAGGAAACTCATCTTCTTAAATGTATATGCACAGAACGTCATCTTAGTTGCAATATTTTTGCTTAAAAATTGCTTCTCGCCATGTCGTTAAGTAACAATGTACTTTAGTTCTAAATGCACCTAATTCTCCTTCTTTAAATCAAATTTCTAGTTTATATATATAAACTTTTATATATATAAAATAAAAACAGGTTTATTATCTGACTGACAACAATTGTACACATAGTCAAACAACTATAAACAGATGCAAAATATTTGTCGTTCAAACGTCATTCCTGTTATTCAAGATAACAGATGACATGCCTCTAACAAACAAATTAATTTATAGAGTTTACTAAACATTCGTTTCTAATTATTCCGCAGTTAACCCCTGCAATTTAATATAAAAGAATTATATGATAATACACAATTGAATGAAGAATTTGAGATCATGTAATCTAAATTATTCATTATTTCAAATAAAATATCGACTAAATTTTTCGCAACCCATCCTCTGCTGACGGTAAATATAATTATCACTTAATGACGCATTACCGAACCAAGCATATCGTTTCTATATCTCTGCAATCATCTTTAATATCTTAAATACTTCATCGATAACCCAATTTCTCGTTATTAAGCCGTGAGAGTTTACATCGAAGACTTTCTTGTTACTCAACATGAATTAAATAATAAATATTAAAAACGAAATGTTACTTTATATATTTTATTGTATTTTCTATATATTCTAACTGAGGCAACGGCACTTACTTAAAAAATTATCATTTTAGATACTAAACATTGTTGACGGTAAAGGATCAATTTTCCACTTTTCCGTTTGGTACAAGTGGGTTAAATAAATATAGTGTTCTAGATATTTAACGTAAGAGATAGCAATTTGGTTATATAGGCATCATGAATTGATGTGTCGAACACCTAACAATTATCATCATTTATATTAGTCAAATATGAACACAAAGCTCTACAGCTGGAAGTTACACGTTTAACTTTCAGTTTTTGTTAACTTCGCAGAACTTACGATTATACATAGATATTTTCATACTATAATAATACTAATATTTATTATTTTCATGTACCATTATCAATGTTAAAAGGTCTGCAGCTGGAAGTTACACGTTTAACTTTTAATTTTGGTAACTTCGCAGAACTCGCGATTGTACATAGATATTTTCAAACTATAATAATACTGATATTTATTATTTTCATGTACCATTATCGCTGTTTATGATTATTACTAACTGTTGCAATTTTTTTGGGTTAATAAGGATCGTCCAAACGAGACCCAAAGATTTCCCAAGAACACCGCAGAGTCTCAATCAGCTGGCGAGTCATTATTCTCAAACATTACGCATATTCTCGTTCCCATCGCTGCCTACGTAACGGAGCGTTCGTGTGACGCTCGGCTGGCCTGCGTTTTCTGCTCACTCGACAGTCATCCTGAGTGCACCGGTCAGTACAGTGCCCGTGACACGTCCTATATCGGACAGTGATACCTCGACCTGTTCTCGATCGGGTCACACCGCGCATTACTGACTCCCCCAACGCAGGCATCCAGTTTCATCGGTAAAACTGGAACAGAACGTTGTACAGTGGTCCAGCGAACGGTATTTCGGCGGACGAAATCCTACGATCGTCTAACTTTGTAATCCACGAAACGTTCGTTCTCTTTGAAATTCTTTAGAGCTTCGACATTCGAGCACAGCACAATTTCTCTGCGATAATTCTGTTGTAAAAAGAACCGTGAAACTGATCGTTTTAAACATTCGCAGTAGATCGTCGGTACTCGAGTTTCTATTGCACGTTTATGTACGTGAACGAGTATGTCGTTATTATTTAGTCGTATCGTAAGTACTTTCTGATTTACCAAGTAATGTGAATCTTAAAGAGAATTCGGAGTTTGAGTAGGTTTTTTATGAAATGTGAGAAAATGTATCATATAGCTATAGACTCTAGTTATCCTCTTATTAAAATCATTTCAGAAAACAAGAAAAAAGACTGTGGTTTCAAAACTTTTTAATAATTTAACGTATATGTAAGGTTTAAAGTAAACGAATGAAAATAGAAATTCTGTCGGACTATTTTCATAAGATTTGATCTTAAAATAGTAATCAAAATAGACTGATTCTAAATTTGCGAATTTTCATGTTTAGTGTCGTACTTAAATATTTTGATTTACGTTGCTGATAAAAATAATACTAAAAACAACTGCTCCTCTCTTTATGGCAAAATATCGCAAGGCAAACATGACTTCTAAAAATTAAATTACTGTAAGCACATAAACGAGTTTTATCGCATCCTAAATAATCCACATGCAAACATCCTTAATCCTCGTTTCGGAATTCTTTTCCTTCTCTAAATAATGGGACAGAACTTACAATTAGATCAACCGTCTCTTATTTTATAGTTATTCAGTGTCACGAAGCGAACGAACATTGTCATCGGAAATCCATTTTCGTCGATACAAAGTTGACGCTAAAGCATGGTCAAGTTTTGCCGTGAAATATCCTTATCCTAGCGCACTGTGCGGCGTTGAGCTTCCTGTTGAACTAACGACGATGCGTTGATAAGAAACGAACGGTGGGATCATGAAATCTTCCTTGTGTTGACGGTGGACAGTGGTTAAACGCACGTGAGAGTGAAAACGCGACGAAGATATTCACACGGACTATCAATATTACTCGAGGAAGGATTCACATCTTAAAGCAGTGAAATCAACTAATCTTTCAACATTTTTCTTTGTGCGAAATTATTAAGTGTAAACGTTCAGTATTTTACAGGTACAAAGATACATTTAAAAATCAGAAAAAAGTGTTTTCTTCTAAGTTTCTCTTTTTTCTAATACTTCTAAGTTGAGTATTCATTCGTCTTTAAACATTAAAACTACTGGACAAGTCAAATTGGCCTCAGAATTCTGATTTTGCAAGTATTTAAATTAGGAGGACGTTTTTGCGAAAGATTTTCAATTAAATTTGTGTATTTGCATAGATACAAGATTAGGAGATCCTTCGAGTCTCAAGAGACATATTATTCTAATTTTTATAACAAATTAGAAATAAGTCACTCCAATTGCTCGACATTTGCTCGAGTACGACTAAAAGATTTTAAGAACAAGATTTTATAATGTTGTATCGTACTATTAACTCATTCGCTGCCAGCATTGTGTAAAGAATATTAACCCCGCAGACCAACCTGATTTATTCCATCTATTAGCATGATTTGACTACAGGAATACATTGTTGTAGAACCATGTTATTCGTGTATGAATGGCGTGGAAATTAATGCGTCAATGTACAAAAGAAAGGAAAAATTAATTTTTTGAATCCTTAACAAATTGCATGTGACGGTGGTCCGATAATCGGAAATTCTGAATTATTGAAAACAATTACAATTCGTAAGACAACAGACGTCAAATAAAAATGTTCGATAACGTAAATAACTAGATAATAGTGTAACATATGAATTGTAAATTAACTAACATAAATAACCAAATAATTGATAACTGTTCATTGTTATCTTTGCTACAAAAGAATAAGAGATGTAGAAACGAAGGTAGAAAACAAAGAGTGCAAACTCGGTCAATATTTGAAGTGTATATTTGACATATCTCAATCTTTTTATAAAAATCAGAACAACGCGTCTCTTGAAATTAATTAAAAATCTTTTGCAAAAACGCCGTCATAATTTAACACGTTCACCACCAGCGTCACACGTTTGCAGTGTTCAACATTTTTGATTTGCATTTTATACGGACGTTCGTTGGATTTAATAAAATATTACAACTATAAAGATTGCCAATGAAACAAACGCTGGTCGCGAGCGTGTCAACCCTTCGCGCTTTTATGTCGAGCGTGACTCGACATCGCTTTTGTTCACAGGTGTGATTCTTCGTCAAGATATTTCTAAAATAAATTATACTATTATGTTATTTTCAGTATTATCAGTAAGAAGAATCGTTTGCACTGCTCTCTATAAACTAACTACTTTCTAAAATGCATTTCATATAAAATATCGCAATAATACAGAGTTATCAAGGGAAAAAAGCGAAAGAAATTCGGAGTGCAAAGGGTTAACACTGAAACTACTGGAAGAATCGAACTGGCCCACCTCTTATTTTGCAAGTATTCGAATTACGAAGACACTTTTGCGAAAGTTTTCCAATTTTTGCTTATTTGTACAGATACAAGACCAGGAGAAGGAAGACATTCTAATAGCTCGGTAGTGTTGGTGTTAAATACACGCGGAATGAAAATTCTGACGTAGGTCAGTTTGACTCGTCCAGTGGTTTTAGTGTTAAGCGATAAGTGACCCCCACAATCGGCTACAGTTCCTGTATATATTGAACTGGTACGGACCACCTAACCCGGACTTAAACCAGACCGCTGACAGATTATACCGAGCGTCTTCGAGCGGTCGCTATCATTACTTGCCGCGCCGGGTTTAATCAGCGAAGAAGTCTCCGGGCGACCGGTCACAATTAAACGATGCTGTCGTTACTGCTGGCCTTGACCGTGGCGTGCGCCTTTGGAGAAACAGCGGATATCCACGGGAATAATGTAAGTAACGTAAGATCCTTGTAAGGAAACCAAATATTCCAGACGTTCCTGTGTAGTTTTCGCGAGTTTTCTGCGTTCCCAATGAATGACGTGTATTTTGTTTAAGGCGAATGATAATAATCGTAATTAGTGATCATTTTATAATGTATTCATATGTTTATGTGCGATTACATAGTTCTGTGTGTTATTAAAAGAAATCTCATTTAATGGAAATCATTTTATCGCGAATGTTTCTATGCGATTTAATCGATCCTGTCACTGATGATTACTGTGATAGTCAATGATTAATTCTTTATTTTATAATATCCGGGTTTTATCTTTTTATTAACAGTGTTTCAACTGTTTTTAATCTTAATCAAATTTAACTATAATTAACTATAATTTGTAAAATGTAATGTAATTGTAGTAATGTAAGGAATTTAAATATAATATTATGTACGAGTCAAATTGAATTATAATAATAAAGGTGAATGTCGTGAGAATATTCACTTCACTGCTTTTTGGTCAAATGTTGGTCAGGATAATGCCAGCAGGAAATATGTTTCCTGCAACTTATGTTCCCTGGAATTCTGTTGAATTGATAAATACGTATATAGAAATATTACAGTAGAATACTGCAGTCTCAGGAGTAAATTGTTTTGATATACACTATTTCTGAAAAAACCAGTTTTGCGTTTACCGTTACGAATGATTTTAATACCGTTATACTTCTGTCACTTATTAGCAGCCACCTAAGTGGCGTTCTATGTTAAATTGAAACTTATAATGTTACATATCAGTGTCGAAGTTTCAGACATTTGTCACTGACAGTCTAACAAAATTATATTTTCTATTTTAAACTGGTGATTATAGTTCTAGGAATTCCTTTTCAAAATTTATGCAATAATGTTGGTATTTTGTCATATAAGCAACTACTTAAATAATAGTTGTTTATATTTTAGTAGAATTATCAAAAACTTTCAGCTCTAAATTGTAGCATACAATTAAACACTTCTTGTTAAAATTCAAACTCACTGTGTACAACTTCAAAGGAATAAATTTCAATGAAAAGAAGCTTTTATATATTTATAGTTTTTATTTATATATTTATATATTTTTCTTACATATTTTTATACCACTTATATTTCCTATGTTTAAATATCTATAACGTACATAATAAGTTTATTCTATTTACCATACCGTAGTTGTATTTACTTTTATAAATACACACTAGCATCAATAAAGTAGGTTCAACTCATATAAAATTCATTCAACAAACCGTACAAAGAAATATAAGGGAACGCTTGTTTTCTTTAGAGGTGAACATTCACTTAATTAAAAGTACAATAATTAAATTATTTCAGAGTTCCCACTCATAAAAACATTTTAATTTAAAAGAGGTCAATTTGAAATTATCGTGTGAATTCGGGTCTCCTTAATCCGTTCAATTGAACGATTAAAAATGGGGACTATCGGGTCAGCCAAACCAATTCCGTTAAAATATTGGAAAACATTTTCGCGATATTCATAGCATAATTTGACAAATTACAATGTACCTACCGTTGATCGAAATTTGTTGGTTACACACTTTAAGAGTTGATCAAAATTTTTCTCCGAGTGACTAATAATTTATATTTTTCCTATTTTTCCTAATTCTTTCTAATTTAATATTGTAATTCTGTTAGAAATTTCGCCTGATATTTTAAATCAAACGATTTCCATTACAGAGCAACGGGCAAACGTTCGGTTTCGAAGTCGATTACCAGAACAATCAATTCTTACTCGATGGGAAACCGTTCCGATATGTATCAGGCAGTTTTCATTATTTCCGTGCGCCAAAACGATACTGGAGGGACCATTTAAGAAAAATGAGGGCTGCCGGACTAAATGCCGTTTCAACGTAAGTCAAATATTTCCTGATAAAATTATAGTATATCTAGTAAAAGCATATGGGACTATACTTTCGCTCGGATACGGTTATAATAAAAATATATCCTATTAATGCACAAATTTTTGGTCATTTTCAATTACATAAAAACCCTTAACGCTTTCATTTAATTGAAATTTTAATCAATTTTATACAATATAAGTCTTTAAATTAATATAAAAATAATTAGCTAGTTTAACTCTCCTTTTAAGGTACATTTACACCAATATGTCGTTCGTTTGTTTGTAATTGCTTGGCATCATTTAACACTAAAACTACCAGACCATTCCTGATGTCTTCTTTCTGCAATCATTAAAGAGATAACAGAGGTTTCTCTGAGAAATTATTAAAGGAATTGATTTATTTATTTAAAAGGAATTATAAATCAATTGAAGTCTCGATAGATGCACTCTTGGAGTTTCTATAGAGAAATTTCAATAAGTCAATTCTAGTGCTGGATAGTTTTAGTGTTAAATACATTCTATCCATTAATTTGGTAGCATATTTCAAGAAAGTGCGCAATGATCAATTCCGAAGTTCAATCAAATACTGATTAACACTGGGTTTTGTAAAGTCTTGTATTATTTTGGTCCCTTTGTATCGTTTCAACCTACATACTTACGAATATTTCATTCAAATTATCGTGAAGCTTGATTTATGGAATACATAATTTTATGCGCAATGTTAGTCAAATTTCATTGAAGTTTTAACACGTTCACACCGGTAGTACACAACTGATTTGCAACGTTAAGACCTACTGACATAATGATTGATTTATTTATTAACATTTACCCACAATTAGCAACTGAAGTCAGAAAACTAAACATGTGAAAAAGGAATGCATACCAACATCATTCTTGAAAACATTGCTTTCTTATTATTACAATCTATGATAAAATACATAAAAACATGTCTCAACGTGAATGTGTGAAATAAATTACTTTACGTTAGCACGATTTTCTGAAAATTTAACTCAAGGAATAAATAGCTTTGCATCGAAACTTTCGTTAGTTATGTGGAATGGAGTCTTCACGAGCCGGAGGAAAATGAATGGAACTGGTCAGGTGATGCAGATTTAGTAGAGTTCTTAAATATCGCTCAAGAAGAGGACTTGTTGGTCCTATTAAGGCCTGGCCCCTATATATGCGCGGAAAGAGATTTTGTAAGTGTCTCAGAAAATTCAATATTCAGTCATTTTAAATAATATGTAATAATATAGAATACTATATTTACAAGAAACTGTTTAAAAATCCATTCATTATTTTATCTTTTTAATAGAATGTCTTTTCATTTCGTATTCTTTATTATATCATCAGGGTGGTTTACCATATTGGTTACTAACACGGGTACCAGATATAAGATTACGAACGAATGATCCACGTAAGAATCTTCCTCTATTTTGTGATTTTCAAATCTACTATTGTTTACTTTATATTATAAATCATTTCGTTTTCACCTTATAGGTTACATGAATTATGTGCAGATATACTTGAATGAGGTATTCAAAAGAGTCGAACCTCTATTGAGAGGAAATGGAGGTCCCATTATTATGGTCCAGGTAAAAAATATACTTGTGTAATTATTACATGTATTAAAAATAATGTGAACATGATTTATTCTATATTTAATCCTGTTTTTATATAAATCTGAAACATTAAGATTTGTTGTACCATGAAAATATTTTGTATTCTAATAATTTCTTTCTTACATAAAAATTCTCCCATAAAAACATCAGTTCTTTCTTCATGACAATCAACAATCGAGTTAACTGATATTTAATACAATCTTACTGCCAAATTATATTAAAAAATTGATATTAAGATGTTAAGTTATCACAGTGAACGTGTGAAAGCATTTCATAAGAAATTTTGTTCTATTATATACACTGTAGTCCCTGAAATACATCACTAATTAACTAAAAAATAAAACACATTCATTTGCAAAAGGTACATAAAAAAGAAAGTTTTTCATGTTATTTTTAAGTACAAAAATTTAAGTTCGCACGCAATAAAAGTGTCCTTTAAACATTTTAAATTATCTCGAACTAATTAATTAATTTCATTGACTTAATTACATTTTTTTTTCTCAATTCTTGAACATGTTCATTTCCGTTTCAGGTAGAAAACGAATACGGAAGTTACGGTTGTGACTACGAGTATCTGAATCACCTCCGAGACATTATGAAGGAAAAAATTGGAACGAAAGCTTTGTTGTACACGACCGACGGTAACAACGCGAATATGGTTAGTTGCGGGTCTATACTGGATGTTTACGCTACCGTTGACTTTGGGACGGGGGTCAACGTAACGAGAAGCTTCGAAGTAATGCGCAGGTATCAACCACGGGTAAATATCGATGGCACAATTTTTAATTACGATTCATTGTACTTGTATTTACATCTAACTGCATTATATGAAATTGAAAATAATTATATAAAAATATTTTTAAGATCTCTTCATGTTCGTTGTCAAGAAAACAAATTTTCTGATTATCAAAAATTAATAATTATGTAATAATATTTTTAAAATCTCTGCTCCTTCAATATCAAAATATACAAATCTTCTGATTATCAAAGATTAATAGTTATGTAATAACATTTTTAAGACCTCTTCACGTCCATTGTCAAAATAACAAAGCTTCTGATTATCAAAAATTGATAATTATGTAATAAAATTTTTAAGATCTCTGTACGTTCAATATCAAAATATACAAATCTTCTGATTATCAAAAATTAATAGATATGTAATAACATTTTTAAGATCTCTTCACGTCCATTGTCAAAATAACAAAGCTTCTGATTATCAAAGATTAATAGTTACATAATAACACTTTTAAGATCTCTGTACTTTCATTATCAAAATATACACATCTTCCGATTATCAAAGTGATTATCAGCGTTAGATTCTCGTATTATACAAAACATAGCACTCGATCCAAATTCATTATACTTTTGGGAACGATAACAATCGCGAAATGTGATGTACAGATCTGTACTAATTCTTTGGAGGTCAACGTTGCATTGTAAAACAATATTAGATTAGCTGGCTTATCGTGTGAATAATTGGCTGTCAGGAAATTTGCAAGTAATATCGGATACTATTATTACGCGAGCACTTGTACTCAGATTAAAAATTTAGAGCAATTCGATGGACTGAATTCCATTACATCAAAACAAATTACACAATGGTACGAGAAAAATGTTCGTTCTTATTAATCGAAGAATAAATTATTGAGATAAAAGTAATGTTAAAAAATTTGTTTATTTTTACAAAAACTTTATGATTGAACTAATATTATTCTTAGTGAATAATATCTAAATTGTACAAATAGACGTTGAAACAGGATATCTGAAGAAGTTAAAAATGAATTTTTGTTGGTATTGTAAATACACTTGTTTGGTACTCCTTCAAAAGTATTCATATTATTTATACTTATTGTCTTATTGCTCTTATTTGTTAATTATTTCCGGCAGGGTCCATTAGTAAATTCAGAATTCTATCCCGGATGGTTAACTCATTGGGGAGAAACTTTTCAACGAGTAAAAAATACTGCAATCACAAAAACGTTGGACGAGATGCTGGCACTCGGTGCATCCGTTAATATGTACATGTTTTACGGTGGCACAAATTTCGGTTACACAGCCGGTTAGTAAGAACTCATTTTTTTAATTATCTGTTTCTACGAATTTTCATTTAACAGTTTCACTGCTTTCCATAATTACTAATACTTTATGTATCGGCTTGATGGAATGAAAACATGTTGCTAACACCAGTGGCGTATTACTTCGGTTTATTGTAGAAAGGAATAATTTCAGAATATGTAAACAATAACATAATTTTTATAATGTTAATTCATTCGTAAGTACTAATTTCAAAAAATTCTTTATAAGCGTTGGCATTGAAAATCAAATTTCTTCGGATCTCGGTAGGTAGTGTGAACTAAAACATTGTAGTAAAAAAAGTGTTAAACAAAGTAATTAATAATATATTCCTATGAAAAGGACCTTAATTTTAAAAGTATCCAAAAACATTAATACGTGACCGATATATAATTATTTTGAAAATTCATTAAATAGATTTAAATGCTTACAGTTCCCAAAAAATGTACGTAATTTGATTGAAAAAAGATTATGGAATTATTTCTTGCAAGAAATGTTAGTATAGATTTCATAATAAAACAAAAACAATTTTTAATGTTGAAAATTTGATTTTGTTTTGGAGAATAAATTTCTTGAAAACTGGTACTAATAATAAAAAATAATTATGTTATTTATATACGTATTCCATATATTATAGGAATTCGTTATATTATTATAACATTTACACAGGTGCCAATGGCGGTGAGGACTCGTATAATCCGCAAATAACTTCCTACGACTACGACGCGCCTTTAACCGAAGCGGGCGATCCGACGTCGAAGTATTTTGAAATCAGAAATGTTATCTCCAAGGTACTGAATCTTTATTTATAAATCACCAATAAAATATAACGTAGCCATTTCTGTATAAACCAATTATAATCATTACAAACACATGTGACTATCATGTGCATTACCAATCAAAAGTTTCGAACTATTTTCAGAACCCTATGGAAAAATCAAATCATAGAACAGATTTCCTTCTAAATAAAAAATAAAGCATATCATTCTTAAGTTTCATAAATAAGTCGCTGTTAATCAGAATCCAAAGCTTCAATTTAGTTTTGAATCTCATTCTTATAGACTAATCCTCAAAAGTATGAACTGAATAGTGATTTATTCTTTTCTCACAAAGAGTTGTGTTACCTACAAATAAAATAAAACAGAATTACTCCAAATAAAAATAAAACTTATATTTTTATGTTCCTCCGTTTTACAAGAAGTTGTAAATAAATTTTATGTAATCGCCTTTTACACATTTCAACTGAATTATAAGTAATTACATTTCATTCCTTTGTACTCGACAATTTGTTCATTACATACATTCATCAATTTTTTATGAAATATCGACATGTTTTACGATTCATATAAAGCAAAATCATATTTTAATTCAAGAATAGATCTATTTTATTACATTGTTTCGTGTATTAATACATCATAAGAAATTTAACATTGAACACTAAATTTTTTAATTTACTATATTCTATCAAGTGGCGATCCAGAGTTGCCTCTCGAGTGTAAGAAGTTAAAAAGTAACCATTCTATGAACGGAATAGAAGCCAATAATCAATAGTAAATGTAATACAAACAATTAAATAAGAAAATATCTGAATTATTGAACTTAACAGAAACGTTATTTCATTTTTTCCAGTACTTACCATTACCAAACATGTCTCTGCCAAGTGCTTCCCCCAAAGGTGATTACGGATCAGTTCGCCTATTTCCAGTCGTGAACCTCTTCGAACCACTTGGTCGTCATCTTTTAGCATCGATAGTCGCCGAGAAATCGGAACCACTAACGTTCGAATCTCTCGGGTTGTCCAACTGGTTGATGTTGTATGAAGCAGATTTAATAGGTAATTTTGCCGATCCAGCGAATTTACACGCAAATGTTCGGGACAGAGGAATGGTCTACGTGGATGATTACTTAGTGGGAACATTGAGTCGGACAGAAAATATATATAACATTGCTATGGAGATTCCTTATGCACGAAAACTGAAAATACTGGTTGAGAATCAAGGACGACTGAATTTTGGAAAAGGACTTCACGATTATAAGGTTTGTTCACGGTGACACGATTCAAGAGATTGTTAATCTTATTTATTTCTAAACTTATCTTTCTTCGAATTTATTTGCTTTCTTATTTCCTTTCTTAAAACTTTGCAACATCTTGTTAATAATATTCAGTTAACCAAAGAAGCTAATGATAGTTTTAAAAGAGAATTGAGGGTGAAATGTACTTTATTTCATTTCGTTCAAGGATTTTGTATCATTTTTCAATGTAACCTATTAATAATATTCTCGTAGCATAATACGATTATCATAAAAAAGTAATAAGATTTTTTAACCGAAATTATATTTCGAATTTTGATTGTTGGAAAACATTCAAAAGCTTAAGGAAGACCTCATTCTGATTTTATTTTGTTCAGAAGAAGTAACGATTGAGTCTTGAAAATTCATATAATTATAAAATATTCCCGGAAATTAAATATTTAACGCGATTCTTAGATGATACAGTAGTTCTGTACTTTTTTCAATAAGTCACATTTTTGTTGGGCTTCACAGGGAGTTTCGAACGTGACGTTAAATAAAGTGCCCCTTGGGCCTTGGAAAATGACAGGCTACCGCTTGGATGACATCGGTGCGGTTCAAACTGTTAATACAATTACCGTGGAAAGTGGAATTCTTCGTAGAGGTCCGGTGATCTTTCGCGGAAAGTTCACGGTTAATGGTGCACCAATGGACACGTATTTAAATACGGATGGCTGGGGCAAAGGTGTAGCCTTCGTAAATGGACGCAATCTTGGACGATATTGGCCACTAATTGGACCTCAAGTAACATTGTACGTTCCTGCGCCCTTCTTGAGAACAGGTGACAACGAAATATTTCTGGTGGAACTGGAATACGTACCGAGCAATAGGACGATGAAGTTACAAGACACACCAATTCTTGGTTAAAATTTTTAAATAACATATCAGAATGAGGTTGCTGAGGATTCTCTTCTACGTAATGATTTGTAACAGTGAGCAAAATATGTGGACACCTTTGCATCTTATTTATTTTTATACAAACAGACGTTCAAATTATCAAATATTAATCATTTTTTTAGTTGAAAGGACTGTTCGTTTGAGGAACACCTCTCGCCAATCAACGAGAAATTTTAAGGGAATAGCGAAGTGCTATAAATTTAAATGTAAAATTTTAGCTTTGAATATTTAGTAGTTTTCAAGATATTAATGGAAAATTTTTGCGCAATACAATGAATTCTACTTATACAGACATGGCTAATGCAATTATTTTTGCTGTAGGAATCGTTGTTGCCGACTGTCAGTTAGACGATTATACACAACATCGGACTCTTATCGTTAATATCTATAGAGTGTTTAATCTAAAATTAGTTTCTTACTTTTTATTAGTTCAGAGATCGATATTAGTCTAGTTTTTATGAAGTGAGTGCAAGCCACACTTTTATTTCATAATTACCAATACTTTTTCTGGAACACCCTGCATATAACGAGGTCAATATTGCTACTCATATAAGGAGTCATTAACGATAGGTCTGGACAGAATAAATTATATAGGTAGAATTCAATATCATGTACCAAAAGTTTTTCATTAATATATCAGAAAATCATAAACACATGAAGCTAAAATTTTATATTTGAGATCTTTTACTTGTCTTCTAATGTCTTTCAACATTTCATGTTCATCGGTGGGAGGTATTCTCCGGGAAAATATCAGAATTAAAAATTATTTAAATAATGGATACATTAGCTCCGGAAAATAAAAAAGAAATCGGTTCATATATTTTCATAATATAGTGTTTCATTAATACAGTATTTCATTAACGTAGTAGATCGAACAATTGACGATGTTACAATATTTTTTTATTTTGTCTATCTTTTCATTTTTTAATATCGGCTACGATCCATGGCACTTTTCGTGCTCACTATGCGACTATCTTAAATTTAAACACGCAATTACGTCCACATTTATAATTTTTAGAAAACAGTTTTTGTAAGTACAATACTTTCAATTTGAGTACTTCATTAATAGTGTATTAATATTGTTCAAAAATAAACAAATTGTATTAACGCATTGCGTTACAACAAACCCAATAGAAACTCCTATCCTCTTTTTCTCACGGTTATTTCCTATTAAAATAAAACATTTGTGATGATGGAAGAAAGTAATTTGTTCGATACGTATATTAGATATTCGAGATACTGATTCGTAAGTTTACATCGAAGAAGATTCAACTGTTTAGTATTAATAATATTTTATAATATTATTTTAAAGTTTCGATATAGAAGTATATTCTTAGAAGTAGACTTTTCCATATTAGGGAAAAATAATTAGATGAATTAAAGTATGAACACTAAGATATCACAAATAATTTATTTGGTATACTGGGAGGGTATCCAAGATGCTCTTGAATAGGCCGTAGGGAATTGCAGGTAAGTCCTGTTCGCATCGTCAAACGTAATTCCACCCATAGTTGCTGTGTTACTATCCATATCTGCACAGTTCACGATGCTACGTAGTGTCGTGTTCAAATCATGAGACTGTTCATGAGATCGCAAACTAGTAATCATAGAGAACTGTGTTTTACACATGTTACAACGATGAGCACGTTCTCCTGTAAAAGAATGAACCACTCGATTTCACTGTTCCATACAATAAAAATAATATTCTTCAAAAACATCGTTTTCATATTTTGAATTGAGATGTTTATACAAAATTTTTACGTTCATAATATATTCCACAGAAATTAACATTAATATAACCTCTTATTTAAATTTCTTTATAGTATATTTTTCGTTTGAATGTGTTCTGAATTCTTGAATTGACTAGAAACGAATAAAATCCGCTTACTCATAATATCTTCGTTGATTATTTTTATAAATACATAAGTTAACCATTCGCCTTGTGATTTCTTCTGTAACTGCGCTCATTAGGACTACTTTATCATTAACAATCATTAGAAAAATACAGGAATTTTATTCTCATTCTATGTCTACATTTACTTTAAAGCATCAAACACCTGACATCAGAAAAATAACATGTAATTTTCACTCAAATGGACTGAATGGCATTTGTATTTATTTTTCGTTTGAAATCTTCATGACGAGTCCCTCATGATATTACAAGGCAAGGGGTTAAGAAACATAGACTCACTTCAATATCAAACATGAGAAACCTGATAGATACCATTGTGTAACTGCATGTGATGATGCAGAGCAGTTGGTTTACAGAATCCACGATTGCAGACCGGGCATCGCATCGGCCAATTTCCGGTATGGGAATATCCGTGGGCTCTTAAATCACCAGGCGTTGGAAAAGAGCGACCACATTCGTTGCATTTATGCGGTTTTTCCTGCGTAGACGTCTCAGTCAATATTATATAAAATATCTATGAATTATCTAAATGTGACACTCAAATGTTTAAAATTTTTATGGTATATGTTTCGTGATAATTGTCGAACCCTTTGCGGACGAACGTCGGCATTCTGTCGAGATCAAACTTCCACGCTTGGAATACCAAGTCGCGAACAAATTATTTAACTATTGGGACAGTAAGAAATCAGTAGAGAGTTTCCTTATTCTCTATGATTTAAGCATTCAGTGTTTAATTTAGCAGAATATGCAGAAAGTTTTGTGTACTTCCAACAATCTTCGTCCGCAAAGGGTTAAACTTGCTCCGCTTTCCGAAAGTGAACAAAATATGTTTAAATTGTGATTTGTACGAGATAATCCAACAATAATGGAAAAATATAAACACCTTGTAATGGGTCATTCGATGGTAATATAAGTTCGAAGAAGCGGTGAATCGTTTCCCACAAATGGGACACTCGTGTGGTCGTTCTCCGGTGTGAATTCTGACGTGTGTGTTCAAAGAACTACTAGTACTAAACATTTTCCCGCACACGGTACAACCATGCGGCTTTTCACCTGTCAATTTGAGGAATATCTGTATTAAAATAAATTGCACGTATTTTTCAGAAAAATAATTTTAAGAAGCCAATCTAAATTATCGATGCCGAATACTTTTCCATTTCAAACAGATACGTTGTTAACTATATTTTCCTTCATTTTATAAGCATTTCCTTATTTCATAACAGAAAATTACATTAATTATGAACTATTAGGAAAAATACTTTAAGAAATTTAATCCCTTCAGACCAGTACACATTATAATATACATTGTTTTACTTCAATATTTGATAGAATATGGAAAGTGTGACATGCAATCTTATATACACCTTTACTTTCAGCCTATTTCTTTCGAAATAATGTCGTTACTAATGGTACATTAAATGGCGGTCCATTATTGTTAGATATGTGAACATAATTTTGTACAAAAATCAGGTCTGAAAGAGTTAATTAAAGGAAAAGGAAATAAACTTCATTCCATTTATGGATATCGTAACTTTTGAAATTTCATAAGACGATTTCGAGTTATACTTAATTTATTGAATGATACACACATATGAGCCATTTATTTTTAAAGTAGCCGAAGCCAATTAAAAAATCAAGTTAATCCTTATAATAGTTATAATTTTATATAATGTTTTTATTCTTTAACAGTTCTTTAATCCTTTTTAAGTGGACTTAAGTCACTCTTAATAGAAACGATTCATATATCGATGTGACACGAAAATTACAAAGAAAAAAGCATAAAATTGTTTGAGAAGTTTCAAGAATTGGATACATCATCAAACAAACATTGAGATACGTTAGAATAGATTAATGAAATATCATTTTGACGAATCTGACCTGTGTGAGTCCGTAAATGTCTCTTTAACAAGGATGGCCTGTCAAAATTCTTACCACACGTCTGACATGGCAAACACCTTTGATACTTCGAAGGACTAATCAAGCTTAGTTTCCCCTCAGATCTACGGCAGCTTAGATCTAAAGGCATATCCTGAACAACGCTCCATACTAAATATTAAATCCAACAAACATCAATTCCATATTTAATCGAAATTCAGTTAACTTGCCAATGAATGCATTAAGAGCGCTAACATTTGAATACACATAAAAATCACAAAAACTGTCTGCTAGTAACTTCGAAGCTTACCGGACATTATAAATTCGTTTAATATTTCCAAAGAGACTGAGTTTGCGAAAGTGTATCACTGACTTCACTGACGATAAAATTTCAGACAATTCACCGGTAGGATTTAGATACGAAGAAGGACAACTCCGACTTAGATGGGCACCACGCGAAACAGATTAAAAGAACGATTGTAGATGAGACGAAAAGCAGTCACGTTCCGAGGGCGCATGTCGGGGGCGGTATTTTTTTCGGAAGGCGGAGTTTCATCCCCCTTGGTAATATTGTCGCATGAAGAAAGACGAAAATACTTCGGAACATACGTCTTCTTTCGTATATTGCGCATTACAGTGTGTGGAACATTTCAAAACTGATGTCATTAGATTTCTGTCTATAAAACATCGTTTTCTAAATCGTTTCCTCTGATCAAAGTTTAATCACACCACGTAATTTCCTTTAGACGTTACATATGTTTGAATTTTAATAATTAAAATGAACTACGCTTAAAAATGACGTTTCAGATAAGTAGTTTTCAGATTAGAATAAGTGTAATTTAGAATGTTTTCGTGATTTACTGACAAGACATTTGATGGATTCTACATTATATGTAACTTCGCTTAATTCTTCTGACCTTCATTTCGTAACAAAGTTTCAAAGGTAAAATGTTTTTGAAAAATTTTAAATTGAAAATATAGAAATTTTTGTTCAAGTTATTTCAATATAATACGGGTTAAATGTCTGACGAAGGATTTTTCAATTCTTTTTGTGATTTGATTTTGTGATTTGAATTTTTTATGTTTCAAATATTTGCTGAATTATGTACACGTTCAAAATATAAAAGGATGTAAAGAATCACAGAAAAATGTAACTTCAAGATTTTTAGTAATAATTTTTACGGAAAAATAACGGCAAGGATAAATAACAGTAGAATAAATAATATAAACATGCGTTTCTGAAGAACGCTAGAAACAGTATATAGTATATAACAGTATATATGAGCCGATAAAAAAACTGTTAAGAATAAAAAGATAATACAGAATTGGAATTGTTATAATTATTAAATGATTTTTTTGGAAAATGGACTTAAGCCACTTACAAAATAAACGATTCGTATATATATTTGTTTCGTGAAGAATAGTTGTTCAAAAATAATTTATTAATATTTCTATATCTTTTATACGGAAGAGAGTATTTTAAACTCTTGTGATTAACCGATTTAAGACGAGTAACTATACACAGCTGTTTCATATTGTGTTTCCTAATGATCCATATGTAGTGCCACCCGGTACCAAGGGTGTTATGATGGTACGGCTTTCCCATATAAAGTAAAAGTCATGCATAGGTAGGAAACCATATTCTCTGTATTACCTTTTCGTGTGCTCAAAGACGAAAACAAAATAACCAATGAATATATGAAATAAAAAGACCCAGTTTATGAACTACTAATAAAATATTAATTCTATCATAGGTATTTTAGTTAATTATATAATCTGAAATATAAAGCATTCCATTATAAAAATGATTAACATTCAACTAATAAAGTTAATAACATTCAAATTACACATTCTGTAATTATATATACATATAAGTTAGTTAATAATGTTTTCTCTCGATTAAGACCGAAGTAACTTTGTAAATAAGTAAACTATTTCATAAATATTTAAGCTCCCGACGTTACGCGATTGTATGTTACTTAATATTTGCTATGAAGAATATGATATATTATAAAATATCTTATGAACCATTTGGAGACTTAATTATTCTGGCACAACGATACGATTTTATCGATCAACAATAACGCTTCGTCACGGTATTGGTGATTTTTCACAGCATTCGACCGGAGGTGAGATAATTTGTCGAACAGCATCAGAACGCCGGACGTCCCACAGCGTCACTCCCTCGTTTGTCACCTGAGAGGATATTACCGCTATTCAAGTCGCCACAGAATCGTCGCAGTTTATTCCTTCATCGACCACACACAACGATATCCTCAATTTTCGTGTGTATGTTTGAACGTTATCCTAGAAAATCGATTTTGAAGGTGAACCAAATGATAATTTGGAAAACTAATTCAGAAAGAGGTATATTTCGTAACTAATAATACAAAAGCAACTAATTATGTACCTTCATTAACACTAGAACTACCGAGCATTTAATACGATTAATATGCGATTCCTATAAAAATTGTAACAATAGATTATTTTCAGTTTCTTCAGACATTCATCATAGTACTCAAATGAAACTATTTATTTTCAAAATCATTTCGAATATTCAATGCTTCGAAGATATCAATAATTGCCAAACAAAAAATCGAAACCAGTCATTTTGACTGCTCCGGTAGTTCTAGTGTTGAAATCAGTGATTGAATTCAATAGAACGTAACATTGTAAAAGAATTATGTCGACATTTATCTTTTAGTACTGCTATTGATGAAATCAAACTAATCGTTTTTAATACGTCTGTTCATGTGAAATATAAACAAATCTATATGATCCAAAAATTGAGGAATACTTATTATATTGAAACCAGATCCCCATGATTTAATGTTAAAATATAATACAGAAACTCATGAAAAGATTATATTCTATGAGATGTAAATATAACTGCAATGGGTATATTTCATTAATTAAATTATCATACATTGTAATTAAAGTTTACACTTTACTGATATATATGAAATTTATAAGGAGACAAACATTCTTAACTGTAACATCAGAATAAAAAATCCGATTAAGTTGAAATTTTGCATACAGGTCCTTTTAGATAGAAATAATGTTCGCAGGCGGATTTTTTACGATGCAGAGGTTAAGATGTAAAATTTTGCAAAAAAGTGTTTTATTATTTTAGTGTAACTTTCTGTAATTTTGAAAATTTTCATGTTCTGATCGGAGTAATATTCCACCTGTAAATTTATTTTGCATTAAGAAAATGTCTGCAAAAAGGATTTCTTATAATTTAAATATTAAGGTACAAAATTTTATGGACAAGCGTTTTACTATTGATCATTTTACATAACGACTTTCGTCGGTGATGAAAAATGATCCTATACGATCGGTATTTCAGATCATCGGACACGAAGTCCCACCAGTCTAGTCTACATTGTCCCTCGTCAATGGTGTAATTTAAACTACAATTTATTTACACAGATTCCTTGTATGTTTTATTTACTACTAATCAATATTTTAATTTCTATATTGAATAAAGTAAAGGCGAACCGAGGAAACGAAATAATTTTCACCTCAGTTTTATTCAAACTTGCCGCTACGAAATAATCATTGAATACCATGGAGTAAGAGAGCACTTTGATTTTTGTTCGTTTACGAAATACTATTGGACAATTCCACAGACAGGATTTGCGAGGACTCTATTCTCTGCGCGTTGTGGAGTGTTCGATCTATATAACTTCAAATTTGCGATTCATTAGTGTAGCGCGCGTAAACCGGTACGTGAATTAATAACAGTGAATTAGTGTTGTGTTAATAAATTATATTTATATGTTATGTCAGTGCGGATAAAATATGAATATATCAGAAGCAGAAATCATAGGCGATCTTGTTCAAAAACTGATTATTTCTCTGTGTGGAGAACAGAAAACAGGTAAAGCTATATATTTTTAGTTGTGAAGGAAAACAAATTGTACAAACTAATATAAAAGACGAATTAAATATTACAAAAAATACCTCTCATGATTTGTGGTGCAGGATTCTCATACTCGTAATTATACGGATATTTAACCTATAATTCTTTTCATTTTTAGATAGACTGACAAAATTTGGGCTATATCAAATACTTTTGAATGATATTCAATTAACATTTAAGCATTTGTAGTATTACAGTGGTAATATCTAATAAGCATTCAAGAATTAACTAAATACAATTGTTTCTTTATATAGAATCCTGTATACTGTAATTATAATATAATATATGTTTTGTACCCAATTGTTAGTACGTATCTCTAGAATAATAAGATACGTATTGTTTACATTAAATATTTTACAGTCTGAATATAAAAAATGTTTAATTTAACTGAAGTACTCACTAACCTCTTGTATATGTACATTTTCTGATAATATTATATGAATAAGGGATAAATTTTGGAAATGAATGTACTCTCTAATTTAAAAGTTATATTATTATATGATTTGGTGTCTGTAAGAAATATTCAATATTAAAACAGCTTAAAGTTTAGTAATATGAACTAACAATTAATTATTACACTTTGCAGTGTTATAAATTCATAGTACATTTATATTAAATGATAAAATTTTTGTTTGATTTTATTAATATTTACTGTTTCTATTACATTTTACAATGTTTTATATTTATTTAATTAGATTATAAATAATAAATCAAAATTTATATGTATTATTTGTCTGCAAATGTGTTGCCTTGATTGAGTTGAGAATTTTGTTTAAATTAATGTTTAATATCTGCGCTTTAAAAGCTTAAGTGAGTATTTTAGGCTTTTAGGCGGTTCAATCATCTTAATAGGCCTATATTTTACGCCTATAATATTTTTAACAAAGTTCTACCATTAACTTTTATTATTTCATTCGCTAATTTCAGAATTAATCAGAAAATGGATGCGATTTGCTCTCGAAGTACTAGCGTCGTCTCAAGGATTAGAGGTATTGCAAGAAGACGAAATCACTCTGGCTTGTCATATAAAAGACAAGTTGTCCCTTAATGATGCAGTGCAGTTTGACAAATTATTTCATGAGTTAAAGGATGGGGTATGTTGTAATTCATAATTAATTTGGATAGATTCGAATTCGATATATATTTTATAGAATATTTTTTACCTATGTACACTTAGAGATAAAAATATACGTATAATGAGAACGTAAAAATAAATTAGCTTAAAATTTTATACTTGTATACTTAAATGTACTTGTTTACTCACGTTTTAGCCACTGAGAAACAGAGCTCAAGTTCTTGTGTTTTTGATGAGTATGTGTGAAAGCACTGATCGTCTAAAGAGAAAAATATTCTCCATTCCTGACTTGAAATTGGGCTTAAGCTCGTCTGCTGCATCTTCCGCTGGCAAGTACTAAGAAATGTTATTCTACATAGAAAATACTTGCCGAAAGTTAAGTTTTCGTCAGAAATAGTGACTTTAATAAATTGGTAATTCGAAAATTTCTGTTTTTAAACTTATCAAGTTCATGAAGAATTTTAATGGAAACACTTCTCAATTTTTCATGTTCTTTTATGCTTTACAAAATTGTTCAAAGAAATTATTAGCGATTTGTTGTTTCGATAAAAACAGTTCATCATCACTTATATTAAATCCTGCTGTGAATAAATAAGTAAGTATTAATATAAATAAATTCAAGTTAAAGCGTAATTTCGTGAGCCTTTTTACTACACATACGTTTTATGCGGTTCACATAATTTTATTTGTAACTTATGCCGATTACCATTGTTTAATATTTAGCTCCAACGCCAGACGTGCATGTGCCATCGCAAATAGTGTCTATGAGTAACACAGAAAGAAGTACGAGGGATTTATTGGCGAGACCTAATAAAATACTCGGTGAAGAGTATATATCAGAGGATATATTAGTTCAGGATATTATATACTCGTTTCAAGGCATTGAAGGAAAAATATTAAAATTAGATTCGAATTATGGTTTCCAAATAGATCCAATGTTAAATATTGACAGATCTCGGAAACAATCCACGTTGAGATTGAGCGAACTCGGCTATTTACACAATATAGTACAAAAAGGTTTGGAAAGAATATCAGCTGCTTCGAGTGGTCAAGTAGCTGACAGTTTCGTTGCTGCGATGCATTCCAAGTTATCCGAATATTACCGATTCATAGCTACTATTCAAGAGGAAGTAAATAGGTAGTTACAAAATACCTCAAAGATTCTAGTACTTTGAGTAATCGAAGTGCTTAAAATGTTTTGCAAAAGATTTTAAACGAAGTTTTCGTATTTGTAGACATACAAAATTAGCAGCAAAAAACGTATTGTTCTAATTTTTATAAATAATTGGAAATAAGTCGGTCTAATTGCTCAGTAGTTTTAGTATTAAGATAAATGATATTTAACCTTTTTTTTCTATTCTGTTAAAAGTGACGAAGATATTTTAAGCAATCGAATTATACGAAATAATCTAAGTGTCTCTTCATACACGTATAACGATTTATTGTGATCCGTAATCTATTTAAATACATTGTAGAGCGGATTTGCAATCAGGATTATACAAAGTTACTTTATCACATTTGCACCTTTGGGCATACGAACCTTTAGAAACTTTAAAATGGTTGGCAAGTATAGTGAGAACTTGTCAAGGTCAAAAGGGTGGCGCTCTTGCGTCTGCTGTATACGAATTCAGCAATTACGGAGATGCAGATGTTAAAAAGTTGGTGAAAGAAATCTTGGAAAGTGTCTGCGATCCTTTATACAGTATGTTAATAAAGTGGATCGCTAACGGAGAATTAGATGATCCATACAGGGAATTCTTTATTGAAACTTGCGCCGATATTACCGGAGAAAGAATGTGGCACGAAAAATATCAAGTTCGTAGTAGCATGCTTCCATCTTTTATTACAAAAACGCAGGCTAAAAAGATTTTGGGTACAGGGAAGAGTATTAATTTTTTACGCGAAGTCTGTAAAGATATTACACCGTGGCAAGGGAAACACACGAATGTGTTTAAAAATTTTACTGAGGAATATAAAGGTAGACACTGTCAATAATTCGCATGTTTTAGAAAAGAATTCGATTGAAAGTAGTGAAGTATATTTCATCATTTGTACAATGTTGTATACTTTTTGTAGTTGATGTTCTGTTCGATATGGATCCTGACGGTCGATTACAAAATATGATGGACGCGGCTTATAAAGCAACGTCAACCAGAGTAGTTGAAGTATTAACAAAGCAATACCATTTTATGGATCATTTACATGCTATTAAAGGTTATCTTTTACTAGGACAAGGACATTTTATTCAACATCTCATGCATTTGTTAGAGTAAGTAACAATCTCTACACAAATGTAATATATAATAATTTAGTTTAGTTTAATTTTTATATATAACATATAATAATTTCAAAGTAGAGAGCAAATCTGTAGTTGCATACGTTTTCGAATGTGTGGACGAATTTGTGACAGTTTAAAAACGATCGAAAGACGATCGACATTTGAATATTGTTTTATGAATGATTGGTTTAACGAATATTTATAAACGATTACTCTTTTGACGAGGACATTCGACTTTACCGATTCTACTTTATAATTGTAACACTCATCGCTACCCGAATATTGCAAGTATGAAAAGATAGAGTCGATTCGAGTTCCTAGAAATGAGGATGTTGATCATGGCCGACGTAGAAAAGGACAACGCGAGCAAAGGAAAAAGAAAAACTAAGAATCGAAGCGTGCGGCAACATTAAAGGCTTGCGATGAGCTTGTTGGGACCTTTAACTCAGAAATAAAACTTCGTTATTTTTTATTATTGGCGAATGAAATTTTCACTATCATATTTGTTATGTTTTGCTGATTAAAATGATGATAAACATGGTAGAATTACGATCATAATTACTTGTGTAATAAGCGATAGAAGTTCTGAACGAAAATGGCTGCGAACAGAAAAGAGAGATTAAAGTCGTCGCGTTCAACAATAATCGAATCCTGTTATACCAGCGCTTCTTAAACTTTTTTCATTCATGACTCCTTTTTATCGTCGACACTATTTCGCGACCCCAGATTTAAATATAAAATAAAGATATAAAAATAAACATTTTTCCATGAATAATTTATTTATTTGGTAAACAATATACATATGAAAAAAGTGGTAGAAGTAGTTTTAAAGCACAGTTTTGATAGCTATAAGTCATTTTGAAAAAGATCAGCAAGACCAGATATCTGTTCGGTTAAAAATATAAAAATTTCGTCTTTTGATAACAATAATCTTAAACTTCGCCCTCTTGACATCCAACTTACTTCTGCTTGTAATAATAAATTAAATTTTCGCGACCCCACTTTAAAGTCAATGAAAAACATTACTTTCTACATTTCTATTAAGCTTTATTTAAAAAATGTGCGTCTAATTTTTGTGCTCCTCTGTAAAAGGAAAGTACTGAAAGCTTCTTTTCGAAGAGTTACATACTTTTAATAATTATATATTTCTTTCATTTTGCATGTTACATGACTAAGAACATGTGGATGGTGGTGTATTTGTCTGCTTCTTCTGACTTCAGGTTAGAATTAGATAAACCTGCCAGTTCATTATATCCGCATAATATATCTTCCATCTTGGAAACGGGAATAAGAGCAACTAGTGCGAAAATAGACGACTTGGATCTACATGGGAGACTCGATGTAAGATTGTTAGCGCCGTCAGAAAATGAAACTGGCTGGGATGTTTTTATTCTTGATTATAATGTAGGCGGACCCATTGGAACGGTACGTTTGATAAAATTTTCTACAGATCTCGGTATAGTTTAAATAAAATAGTGAAATTGTTTCGTAACATACATTCCTATAGAACGAGTTGCTTGCGATTTCGTTTTGTGTAACTCTCTGAATAATAATTCTAATATGTCCGGAATTGTAGTAGAATTTAACAAATAACATAAACTTTTGCATACGGTTTTACCACAATGCCGATCGTACTGAAATCATGATGAGCGAACATGCAAAATGATAGATATAGTGTGAGTATATTCCGAGTGGAATATTCTGCATATTTGATATTACTAACACGAACTACATACATACAGTATATTTTATTAGTTAATTATTCTGCAAACTGAAGTCAAAATTTTCATGTGCCATTTGTATTGCAAACAATATTAATGACGTCAACTTTTATTAATTTTATTTAAATATTTGTAGTAAGTTTAAACACTCGTTTCTAGGTAATGATACGTTTTATTTATATTAATTCCATTTCAAACTTCAAGGATCTTCAGTTTTTAAATAATTCCAACAAAATGGTTACCAATTTTTTTATATAAAATATAATACACTTGATTTTGATAATTCTATTGCGAATTATAAATTAATATACTGTTAAAAAACGGTTTATGCTATCTGTGAAGTTTCATAAATATACAGAAAATCTTTTCTGTAATTATGTAGATCCTGGAACCTTATAGAGAAGTGTATCAAACTATATTCTTTGCATTGTGGAGAGCTAAACGAATGGAATCTATATTGTGCGCAATTTGGAAGCGTCAAATAACTTCGGCAAAAATGTTTCGTAAAATGCCGGAAGTTTCAACAATTCAGACTCATATACATTTAATTACGAGTAGTATGGTTCATTTGGTTCACCAAATGCAATATTTCTTCTTATTTGAGGTAAGACGGAAAATTAGTCATAATTAGGTGAAAATATATTAATAGATAGGACAATATGAATGTTACATAATTAATTCTAGATTACTGAAAAATTTTTATTTTTCGCTGTAGAAACACTTTCGAAAATTCGAAAATTCAAAGAAAGTGTTTATCATTAAATAAGACAAAAATCAGTAATTCAAAATATTATTTGATTTAAACAAAATATTACTCTAGTAGGCATATAAATACTATTTCATTTTTATCGTTATTCTAATACTTGATATGAATATTTTCTTTATCTAATAGCGTTATGTTACGTATTGTTATTTTATTACTTGAATGTTATTTTTCAAGAAATTCAATACAATTTCAAATTTATACTTTTTTGGCATCTTTTGAAAAATCAAAATTTATACGCGTTTTTTTATCAACAAATTTTAAATTATGGATTGTACGGTGTTTAGTAATGATTGAGCCATTCAGTTGCCGAAGTGATTAACTCTAGAAAATAACAAGTAGAAAAATTGTATTAAATTGCATACGCGAAACATTGCTTAAATATTTTGATACTGTAATCTGAAAACGTTTAACAACCAGATTTAGTCAGTTCACGGTCTGAATAATTCAATTATCACTTGAAAGTTAGTACTTCTAAGGATAAGTTCCAAATAGGACAAATTTTTAAGGTCATCGAATGTTCCTGGGATGCATTTGCGAAACAGCTTGTGCAAGCAGTTTCACTAGATGATATAATTGCTGCCCACGCTTATTTCATAGACACAATAAGACGCGGTACTTTTCTCGATGAAAAATCTCAAGTAAGTTAAAGCGCATACTTCTGTTTATCTAGTTTAAAAATGTGCCAAGTGCGTACTTAACAAGAGAAACAATCAAAATTATATGATATAATTCCTTTTATAAGCGACCATTTTAAGTCAAACTGATCAGTCTTGTACATAATGTTTTGGTTTTCGTTCAAACTGAAATATTTTGTAAGTATGTGTAATGATTTTGCAGATTCTTATATTTGAAATTATTTCTTATAAAAATTTGGGTTGATAGAAAAAACAGTGTTATTATAATTATGATGTAGCTTAATATAATTTAGAAGTACATTCTAATCAGAAACGTTCTTGGATAGGAGCTGATGGACCATTTACGTTCAGTGTATGGTCCAATTTTAGACTTACAGAATCTCGAAGAAACATTTCTGAAAACCGCTACACGCGAATACAAAGCGAGATTAAACGAAAGCGTTTCGTTGGACGCTGCATATTCAGGGGCAGATCGATTACAACCGATAGATGAAAATGATGCAGAAGTAACTAAACGTCAAGCTGCCTTTCTAAAATATTTAAATACCCTTTTCATTCAACTTAGATTACTTTCAAGGACATATCAGGTGAAGATTTTCTTTTTGTCACGGTCATACAAATTATTTTAGTCTAAGAACAATGTTGAAATTAAAAATGATGGTGATGTTGAAATTTCCGAAATGGTTCCATTTTGATATAACACTTTTGTTACAGGATAGAGTAAAGAAATTTCTCATAATGCTCGCATCTGCTGAAGATGTTTCCTTACAGTTGTTAAGCGTGCGATTAGATTTTAATGAGTATTATAAAAGTAAAGATAATCGTCTTGTTGCACCACTAACATATCTACACCGAAGATAAAATCACCTAATTGTTTTCAATTGAATCTATCAATTATCAATAAAATTGATCTTTTCTTCTCCGATGAATCCAGATTGTAGGGCGCAAAATATCTTGGATTGTTAATTATTTAATATTAATTATTTATATTAATTTCTCGATATATTTATACAAATAATCAATACAATATTGTATATTGTTAAAGTATCTATAAGCATAAAATACTTTTGTACTGTTACAATGAAAATAAATACGATTTGTAAATCCAAATCAGAATTATTTTTATAGAAAATTCGTGTAAATAATTTATTACAAAAGTACCTAAAATAACCATTTACTTTACAAAGTGTTTTACCTCTCTTGAGTGTTTATTTATTTTACCTGTGGAATTACTCGAACGATCTGGGATTCTGCAGCTATAAAACTGAACGAAGGCCTGAAAAATGAAAAATAATCGGTATTTTCAATTTACCAAAATTCCTTTTCAATATTGGCTTTACCGGTTTTAATCAACGTATCATTAATTTATTTCACAAACAGTTGCGACGAAAAAACATGTGATTTAGATTTGTCTTGCTTTAATATTTCCATAACGGTCACGGTATTATACGAGATGAAATAAATTTAAGACAGCAATACATGCGAAACTTATATTTCTCGTGTACATGGACAATGGACAGTTCTCTAGTCTCGACAGTGCTTATAAAACTAGATTGCGTGCTGGAAGCACGACGTATGGCGCAACCATATTACAAACACAATGCTAAAACGAATCGCGCGGTTCCGTGACAGTAATTTCTCATTTTTAATTTCATCCATATACATATTCGAATTGTTATAATGTTTACCGCCGAATACAGCTCCGAAGTCTCGAAAATATTATTAAAATGTTTGAAACGAAGGCGTGGTACTATAACGTTAATTAATGCTCCGCTTCTGTGTATGTATATTTAAGTGTCGTGTTTACTTTTATTCGCATATATTTATGCATTATAATGTACTCTATATTAAACAGGCATATATATAGTCACGCCACTACTTCGCAGGGGCAATACACTCTATCTGTACACTATAAGGTATTGCAATTTCATTCATCTACGCTCATTAAACTCAATCTCATATAGTCGTATGGTGAATTCCTACTTACAAGCATTAGTATTGTTCGTTTTACTTACAAATGTCACAGTTTCACATTACAATTAATTATATCAGTCATTCAATATTGATTACAATGGTATCTACAATGCTGATAATATAAAAGTATTTATAGGCTGGGCACAGGTTTTCATACATGATTTAATTGTCAGTTGTCGCTGTATTCGAATCGAATATGAATGTTCAAGGAAAATGGGCGAACTAAAACTAATTACAAATTTCGTGATATAAAACACAATTGTAGTGCATGAAAGATTACGATGAATATATAATCAACGTTATTATCTGGGATATAATATAAATCTGTAGATAGAAACAAATATTATACTTGCGATAACAGTGATAGTAAATACGAGAGTGATCTGACTTCGAATCGTCGTTAACTGAGTTTTACCTGAAGTCGTTTATTTTTGTATATGTTTTTCATGAATTATTGAAATTAATATAGGAAATGTGACAACTTACATCGTGTTAATTAGTTGTAAAATAAATTTCAAGACAGAAATAGTCAATAATATTTATTATTCTATCGTATTCAACAAATAGTTTGCAAACAGTCAATTTTGAACGTATTGCTCGAAATATGTAAGTCTATATCTGTTACAGAATTTGTAACGAACAATTAATAATTGACATGTCTAAAGAGGCTCCTTACATGTAAACATGGATCTATTTGTTGAAAGAGAACACGGATAGCTGATATGTTTTGTTGGATTTGCGTGTATACATTAAAATTAAATATTCGTTAGATTAATTTGGTAGCATAAATTTTCCACGTAGAACGTTTTGTTTAATCAATCTGAGACAAATTACGTTATTGAAAAAGTTCATAAGTATTATGTAACACGTTCAAAGTATAAGAATTAACGATACATACATAGATTATAAGATCTTAGTTCATTACTATATTAACGATACCATTTTGAGCATGAAATATAATTTTTTTCAAACTTACAATGAGAACATTTTCGTTCGTTTAAATGTCCTGTTCTGATAAAAGAATTGATACTAAGCATTAGTGACATTTTAATTATATTCAATACAGTAACTATAGTATTCTAAATTTTTGAGAAATGTTCAAGTCAGTGTAATAAAAATAGCAATGAATATAAGTCGAAGCATTGTTAATGTTTAGGTAAATACTAATGCCATAAAGCATTCAGTTAATCAAATACTTCATATATTAATGCAATTATAATTGTTAAGTGGTAGTTTTAGGTATTGCATTTTTGCTTCAATAAACTTTTAAGGATTGTATGAAAACTTTAGTATAACACGATTATTGTACTACATTTAAAGGTGTACAATAATTTATAGATTTAAATTCACCGATAAAAATAAGGACAATTTATTCTTCCATAAAAAGGAGCTTGTATATGCCAGGTTTAAAAAATACAATCCGTGTTCTCGTGTATTCCATATACCGTCAGATTATTTCTGGGGAGGATTTTAAATCCGTTTCTCTGCAGGCTTTTGATGCTCATTGTAAAATGGATGCACAGACGATTTCGAAGTAGAATAATAATTGTACGTAACAGTAGGACAATCCCTCTATTCCGTTTTGCAATCGCACGATATAACGTTTTACATTATTCACTACAACCATACAATCAGCTTTATTCTTTGCAAGTACTTCGGTAAGTGTGTATTTAGGGGTACTTTTACAAAATATGAAACGATAGTCACTACAATTTATGAAGATCTTTTAAGTAATCTATCAATAATTACACATAACTTATATGAAATATTAGTTCACGATTTATATAAAAAAATAAAGTTCTTTGAGTGATTTAAGGTTTACCTGAAATTAGATCGAAGGTACTGTTTAAGAAACAATATGAACATATAAAATATGTTTTGCAGCTGTAATTTGAAAGTACAATTAATGAGATAATATTCCAAGGATACTAAAAATTTGCAAGAAATTCTATGTAGTATTTACTGGGTACGTATAGAGGACAAAAATTCAGATTTCGAAATTTTGTCATCATAAGTGTGAACGTGTTAGTAATTACAGGGTTGACGATAAAAATAAAAAATTACAGTATCTTTCAATGAAAATTGAGTATTCTGATCTCATAAGATGAAAAACTGCAACAAAATTTTAATACATTATTTTAATTAATTCAAACTATATTAGTTATTGCTATTGTAAGAAGCATTTAAAGAAATAATTTTACATGAAACGTACGCATCTATTTCTTACAAGGACCTTATGACATAAAGTTAATCCTGCATTTAATTTCAGATATGTACTCAGAAAAAATGAATTACAACTTACATTACGCTTTTCTTTCAAAAATTTACATTTCGGATGGTATGTTAACTGCGGGAAATTTTCAAATTATAATTTTTATATCATTTGTAAATGAAATGTTATTTACAAGCCCAGACAGCGCGCAATAGCTTGAGGAAGTTCTAATTTGGACATTTTAAACATTTTTGGAAAGATACTTTCAAAGTAACTGAAGTGTGAATCTACAATATGTATACGTTGTTTGGGAGTAATTTTCAACAACGAGGATTATTTTAGTTGGGGAAAAAACATATTCTATGTATTTGCTTAACAACTTTCGTAACTTCCTCAATCTATGAAAGAGAAACCATTTGTACAAATTGTTCCATTAATTTATTGAATCTATTCACACTTTTCATTTTTCAAATACTTTTCACAACTTCGTTAGGTCGAGTAGATCCTTTAATTACGATTTCTTCATACTAAATTCCTACTTCAGTATGTACAATGGTATAATAGCGTAGTGGATGAAGATTTGTAGAGTGTCAGAGAAACATGGATCAATTTTATAGTCAACGTTACTTCCGTTGTACAAGACAATAACTAAAACATTAGAATGAATGATTCATGAATCATTTAAGGGGTTACGTACTCTTGAACACTTTGAATATAAGAATTTAATAATTGTTTAAATATTCAAAATAACGTTTTATTAAAAATTCAATATATGGATTTTATCGTGTGACACTTAAATAATATTTTCTGAACATTTGATTTCAATATCTCAAGATATCATGAATTTTGTTGAATATATGAGATATAAGAAAGATACTTGAGTTGAGAAAAATGTTTAAATGCCATTTAATTTAATAGTTATTTTTGATGATACGTTGTTTAAATTCTTTTCTTTCGATGAACTTGAAATATATTTGAAATTATTAAAGAGATGTTTAAGGAGAATAAAAATTAAATTAATTACATTTTTATAACAATGAAAGATTGCAGTGTATAACTAAAAATTACAATAACAGACCAATTAAAATTTGTTCAGTTTTGTTCAGTTCAAAGTAATAGAAGTTTCTGACATAATACAAACTTCGTTTAAAATTAGTCATTTTGAATTATAGTACCTTACAATTTCTAGTTTTTGAAGATTTTTGGTAATTTTTAAGTCGTCAAATTATGATTTAATCCATTCATTGAATTTGTATATAAGTGACTCTCAATTAATTGGACTATGAACATTTAGGAGACGGTATAAAAACGAACTGCATCTAGAAGATATTTAATTAATTTCGTTTGTCGTATTGATCCATGATTTTCGTGACCTCTGTTTAGTCGAAGATTTATGTCAACTATTAGTCATTATTTAATGCAATTTAAGAACACCAAAATGATGCCCTCAGTCTTTGGATAATACTATTCTAGTATTCTCTGTATATCATATGTTATTATACACACGCATACACGCGATATGATATACAAGTACATAAGATATATTATTTTATGTATAATTGCATGTGGTATACATATATCGAGTCTACATGTGTATGTACAGTAATACGTGTCATTCGTAGTTGTTCGTGCTAGTTATTAAGCGTTCTCTATAACATACTTATACATATAAAATCGACATTAGTTAGTTTTCTGTGTGTTGATTTTTCTTGTGAAATGCCAATTGAAATATAAAAGAATTTTATTTTAGAACATTGATCGCTTGTGTGAGCAATTATTTCGCAGAAAAACAGGTATTTTTTCGTCATTTCTCAAGAATTGATGTTTTAGATTGTTCATACATAGTGTCACAAATTATTCTCTACGTAAACAAACGAAACGATGAACATGTTTTATCATTTTAGAAGATTTTGCGATGGTTTCCATCTGAAAGAAAAGAATCTATTAAGACAGATTTCGAAAGATACACACAATTCAGTCTGTTTTTACAGAATTTTATGTAAAACTTTTCAATTGAAAATTGTTTATAAGGAACAAATTATTTGGGTTTTAGAATTGTATTAGATTGTTTGCTCATAATAGCTGTTTCAGATTAGCAATTGTTTATATTAGAACTGTGTCACGATGAAATAAATTTACAAATCATTATTAATACATTTACTTCAAAGAATAAAGGTGTATAAAATATAATTTATTATATATGTCCAAGTGCTTCCTATGTTAATATTTTTCTGTTTACACAATTTTCAAGTAAAACTTGCAATTGAATATTTTCTTTCTTACATTTTTAATAAAAAAAAAATTTCTTATTAATTTCTTCATTAGAATTAAAGAACAGTTATTTCTTGAGAAAAATATACAAGAGAAATCTATGAATTGAATTATGTTTGCCCAGATTTATAAAGTCAACCACTATTTCTCATTCTAAGCAATGTCCATCTAAGATCCGATAACGTGACTGTTTGACATACTTCGCCACATATTTAGGCTGCATATATGTTAATAGTTAATTTAGTGTATCCAAAATGATTAAGATTTAATGTATCTACTGTAATTGATTAATCGTGAAACGGCAGCAAGAATTATATAAGCGGCACAACGTATTTCATACGCCGGGGATGAACTTCTCCATCAAAAGCTGCACACGCTCCACTGGCAGTTAGAAGGTTCTCTCACAAGTTGGCTGATTGCCCACCTTCGTTATGTACCAACGTATATTAACATATGTGAGACATGTAACACACATAGTTAATATAAGAGTTGACGGTTGATTGAAAAATATTTAGAAGTATGGCAAGAGACAGATCGATAAATCGGTGGAGTTAAATGCAGCAATAGAAACAATTATTAATCATTTTTTGGTACACCTTGAAGCAATTGTAAAATTTCTTCCTTTTCACTTTCTATCGACGAATATTCCTGAGAGACTTCTATAATATCAGGATTGTTTTCTTGATTTTGGTGATCATTTCCGGAGGTATTTATTTAATTTAATTGAGAATCATCGGTTTCTTTACTGAGAATTGGTGGTGTTGACTTCAATTCGCCATTTATACTTTCTGCTGTATCCTTTAGAATTATTTCTGTTTCAGCTTTGTTTAACGATTTATCCGGAATTTGAACGAGTTCTCAATTTAATATTCTATTTTATTGCGCTGTAACTTTATTCAATAATTTTGCATTGATTTGTTCTAACTGTAAGTCATCTGAAGTGGCGGACGAAAGTTTTGACACAGTAAGCGGTTCTGTACTCAATAAAAATATTAGCACGTTCATTGATAATCGTGAAATGTTCGTGACACATTCATCTAGAATACAATTGTTTTCACTATCCTGTATTTTGCTTTTAAAAGAATGTTTTATGTGCAAACTATTGAACCTATTCGCAACTTTATTCGCATACATCTATCCGCAAACAAAGTGTGTAGATGCTCGAATGTAGACAATTGATTGCTAATCAGAAACAAATTTTCTCCGACATTGAAGATTTGTAGTCAAACGTAGATTCCTAAGTCCAGGAATGTAAATATCTTCATGTTTCTATTTTGATAAATTCGAAACTATATTCTGCACAAACGGCGGTAACAACTTCTCTCAACAATAGGACTGAAGATATTCAAATATTTATTTACAGGTTATTTACAGACGATCTGTCTGTAACTATAAGCAGTGCTTCACGGATTTTTCGTATACTCTCAACTTCTACAGATAATTACATCGGTCACTGCATATGAATCAATTGGCATACTATGCAGGGTGTGCTATGAGAAACAGAACACTTAATGTATCGTTCGTATCGAGGATAGAAAAAAATATCCAAAACAGCTGTTGTGTGTACTATTAAAAGAGATGAGTGTGACGATAGAAACGAATCTTTTGTTTGCTATAATTTTCATCGATTTTTTAAAAGTGATATCATTGAGAAGGTTGTTAAAGATTTTTAAATAAATTTAAAAATACGAATAAACAAAGAATTTATTTAGAGGAGATTTTGATAGAAGGACGATGATGTTCAATATATTCGTGGAAATATTTATCTACGGTGTGGAAATATGGGGATGGGGAGAATGGAAAGGATTGGAAGTATAAGAAAGGTTTTTAAGGTGGAACTAGGATTAGACAGGGAAACGCTGGGGTACGTTATAAGGGAAGAAACGAAGATAGAAAACAGACGTGTGGAAGCAGGAATAAGGATAATTAAGTGTACGAAGAGAAAATAAAAAACAAAGATAAAGAAAATAGAAAATAAAGAAGAATGGAAAGATCTTACAAGGTAATAGGGATGTGCAAATGGGAAGCAGAAATGAATGATAATAATGGTCAAACAGGTAACAGAAGAATGAACAGAGAAGAAAAGAGAAAAGGAAATACAGCAAAGGAGAAAAAAGATGGAGCTATCCAATCGGCGAGGCATTACGGGAAATGGCTGGCGAGAGAAAGACCAAAATAGATTACAAGAAGAGGGAAAGCAGAGAAAAATGAAAGCACTTGCAAGATTCAGTTATGGGAGTGAATATAGGGGAAACAGATACAGGGAGAAGGAAGAGGGAAGAATCTGAAGAATCTGCAGGAAAGGGAATGAGACATTTGAACACTTAAGAGAAGAATACGAGGCAGTGAAAGAAACAACAAAAACGGAAGAAGGGGTAATGGGCGAAAATGGAAGTCTAAAGTAATCAGATTAAGTGGTAAAAGAAAAGAGAATGTATATTAGAAACTCATGTATCCTGAGATGGGAAGCATTATTTACACAAAAAAACAAAGAATTTATTTATATTGTCACACTCGTCCCTTTAACACTAAAATTGCCAGACTGGTTAAAATGGTGTATTCCTGATTTCTTCTTTTTGCAATTATTAAAAAAATGACAGATGTTCTCCTGAGAAATTATTAAAGACATTACTTAGCAATACACAAACTGAATTATAAATTAATTAAAGTCTCAATAGATGCACTCTTGAAGTTTCTAGAGGCATTTCAAGAAGTCAACTTAACTGCTTGATAGTTTCAGCGTTAAATAGTATAAGCGTCATTCTGGACAATTTCTTCTACCTTCAATGTTAACAGGGATATGTAAGTATTCTGTCTTTCGACGTGCCTTGTATATTAAAAAATATTTTGTCTTGAATTTTAGATAATCTTTACATGTCACGGAATGTTTACATTGGAGATATGTACGACGAAAAGATATTTCTAGAATTACATACGTATACCAATGTAAATATTTTATATTATTGGACGCAAACATTAAACGTTTCTTTTTTCACGTATATTATGTACAATCACTATCATTCTCAAATAATGACACATGTTTATCTTCGCGGGTATTTAGTTGAGTCTCGCTAAAATCGTAGCAGAATAATTTCTAGAACCTTTGTACATGGCCAAATCGAACGCGTGTTTAGGAAGTGATGTGAACGTAAGAAACCAGCGTTGCAAGAGAAGTGGCCATTGTATTTACCGAACAATCGAAGAGAGCGATATCATTTTAGCTTCCCACTGAGCAGAGAATACTTATCCATAACCAAATAGATAAATATCAGTGTAATTTAGCATTTTGTACATTGATACACCCCTTTCAGATTAACACAAAGAATTTCTCTTTACATTTTTATTTCCAAGCAAAATATTGTGACGCTACGCATGAACAATCCTTTATAATAAAATCTCTAATACCCGAATATATAACGTGGAGAGTCAAGTAAACGTAGATGAGTATTATTCTATTAGTTATAGAAGGGTTGACGAATAGAAAAGTGTTAACTAAATTTAACACAGTAATGTCATGATTCTCTTTATTGTACTATTGTTCTTATACGTTGTCTGCCTTTGTGGATAGTACCTTGCTGTGTCATACGAAACTCTAATAGTAAATAATAAATAATTCACTTAATTATTGAAAATGTCTTCACACATTCGCTGCAGTAGTGATTCTCAATGTTTTTTCTATAAAATATACGTACCGTTTCACTAGGTTCCTTGAGTGATCATAATCAAGACGAGAGGATCGATGATCCGACGATCGACGATTCATTATAATTTAACTGATCAGAAGTTACGGTCGAGTAGAATTTCCGAGCTCTCGATATTACGTCGCAGATGTTTATAGCATAGCGAAAGAAGTGACATAGAGCGTACACATTACCAGCAGCGTATGCGTCCTCCACTAAATCCCTTAACCAGTTTAACGTAAATCTCTACATTAGAATTAGCGAGGAATTAGTCCGGTGACTGACTAGTTTCGAGTATCACCATCGATTGTGATTAAGCGTGATCAAGGCTCGCTGTACTCGTCGTGCAAGCTTACGGATCCATTTGTTTTCTTCTCCTTGTTATTAATAATACAGATCTAATCACATTAGACGCTACGCGTTAGTTCCACGGCAAGGAATGACATTCCACTCGCAAGCTATTTGAATTATCGTTTACGAATAATTTACAATATCTAACATCATTACACGTTAGGATGTTATCATACAGCACGGTATAAGTGGTCAGCGCAATTCATGAAACTTATCCTCGAATGGAGTCCCTGAGCGATGGATATCTAAATGGATTTACAAATTTTCGATGGGTCGCGATCGAAAGGAGAATTTGATGATGTACTAACACTGCGGTGGCCAATTTTCAAGCCGGATGGAGCGTTCTTAACTGTGGATGATGGTGGAGGTAAATAGTGAACGTGACTAAAACGAAGATCAGGATGGAGGAGTTCTCTTTCCTCATCACACCGGAATCGTCGTAATCGTCGCCTTCGTCACCGTTCGCCTCCTTGCGGCCCCGCAATTTTAAATCTGGAAAAGGAAATGGCGATACTATTACCGTGCCATTACTTCTTATTGCGAGACTGCGTACGTGCAACGTGCGCCCGGCGACTTGAACCACTTCCGCAATTTCGAACATATTGGTATCACCGAAAATCACTTTGGATCGTGGGTATATAGTGCCTGCTACACACTCGAGCTTGTCGTCATTTGTAGTTTTCAATGCCTTAACACTAGGTTCGCGGACATTTATCGTAGAGTTTATTCTACTGCTCCTAGAAAGTTCGTTCATACGGATTTTGGAAGTTTGGTGCTTAAAAATAGATAACTGAGGTACATACTGGTGTAATTAATTAAAGTCGACGTTAATATTCACCAGATAATGCTTATAAAATTCAATACGCGTCAAATTGACGGAAATTTGAAAACCTAGTGTTAAAGCTACGTTCGATTCATTATAATTTCTTGTTCATGGAACTTCAGCGACTTGCTTTGACAAGTGAAAATCAGTACTTTATGAAATCTATTGAAAGGCTACAGTGTGGATAATGGTGTTTAAAGTGTCTTTGAATTAAGTGAAATTAACGCTAAGTCACTTAATATTTTGACAAGGGAGTGAATAATAATTTAAGGTAGAAGGTTTTCATTTTCATTAAAAAATGACAGAATAGTTGTTTACTTTTCAACAAGAGTTTTTATATGTAGTGTGTCCGTTTTATTCGTGTACACTCGAATAAACTGACAATAATGAAAATATGTTGTTACGCTTAAAAAGTTGCATCAACTTCGAAATCTCCTTAAATGACAATGTAAAAAGAAATCGAAATAGCTTACTAAATTTTCCTCGTCACGTCGAACAACTTTTGTCTGAACTATTTTTTCATGTCTTCAATAATTGCGGAAATATTCGAGTGTACACGCATAAAACGGACATACTGTATGATATATTTGTTTTCAGTTTGTCAATGCAAGAAGGAATTTACTATCATCATTCATTCATTTTTCTCAGTCTACATTATTGACTTGCTCTAAATGCATATAAAGAACATAATGTTTATTATCGAAAATGGAGAATATTTAGAATACAATAAATTAGTTGAAGAATATATTCTAAATAAGTTGAACGTAAATTAAAACCTTTATTTTATAAATGAATATTTTGATAACCTCATAAATTATATTTTATAATTGAATAGTTTGATAACCTCATAAATTATATTTTATAATTGAATAGTTTGATAACCTCGATTATAAATTGAAAACTGTGATACATCGAAATACTGTAGTGTCAATACTAAAATGTAGTAGTCGAAATTGAAAACCGTTCTATATTTAAAATAGTAACGATCATGGTTGAAAGACAAGATCTAAGAGTGATAGTGAAAACTTCAAACACAAAACTTCATTACGAAAATGCATGTTTAGCTGATGCGAAACAAGATATTGCGCAGATAGCAGCTGCTAATACGTTCAATTTAGATCCAAGTGAATTTAATTATTAACTCAATTTCTGTCTTCATCTGTTCTCTGGTTATTACAACTAATAGGTTGTCAGCGCTCAAAGCTGAGAGATAATATTACCCCATAAACTTGAGTTATCTCTATTCAAGAAATACGTGTATTGTATTATGTACTCTTTTTAAAAAAGTTATAAAATGACACATCACGATGTACGTCTCCTTTTAGAATCTACGTTTCCTTTATATATTAAAATTACAGGATTATTTTCTAAATTTTATATATAACTAAACAGTTAAATTTTAAAAGAGTTTCATTATATAAATAGATTATACAAGTTTTCGTGATCATTTTATTACAGCTTTAAAAAGGAATTGACTTTAGCTAAAAAATCATTACAAATTTGACAAGGAATTTGCAATGGCCTACCTCGTTCTTTGAGCATATCTTGATTTCCTTCGAAAATGTCGTTTCTTGAGTTATGCCTTAACTTTCCTGTAATAACGAAACAATAGAATTATTAATCATTGCAGTCAATATAAATAATTAATACGCAATATTCGATATATAGATGCAGGCAAGAAATAATTTAACAGGTGATTCGTTACTCGTAATTGTAAGATAAGAAAGAAGGAAACGAAATTACAGTTTCGGCTTTACTTGCAAGTAGTTAACGATCAATAACCGTCAACGCCACTAGCGGATCGATCTAACTTACAGACATTAACAAACTGTGATTCTTTAACACTTTTAGCTCCAGGAAGATGATCGAATGATTCGAAGTAAGCGTAAAATCTGTTGATATTGGAAAGTGACGTTAAAATTAGGAGTCTGAATTTGTATTCGATTATTTAATAATTATAGGTTACTTTGTTCAACATTTCCCAACGAAGTGTTCATTCCAAAGCATTTACCGGTGTTTTAATAAAAATGCTGATAATTGCATCATAAATTACTTGAACGTCTGCAATACGTAATTATACATATGATTGTTTATTTCTTCATGGACAGTAGCAATCTTTTGTTCTTACAAGATACTGTAGAATAACGAGGAGATTGGGCTAAGTTGATACAGTGAAATTTTCTAAATACTGAGTATATTTTTGATTTTACATTCTGAATTAGTTTATGTTCTGACAGAGTTACCTAAAAATAAAGGAATTACGTTTTGTTATTTAATTTATATGCTCCGGGTTTTCTTATGGAACCGTTTTCGTATAATGGCGTCATTTGGAGCATGTTGATACACCTTCCCTGAGGAACGGTAATACAGTGTATCAGTTTTTTCGGACTACTTTTAAGCATATCATTTTATTTTATTTTTAGAACAGTTGTACGAAATTAAAGAAAGAACTAATCAACGTGAAATATCTCTAACTTTTCTACCATTAATATTTTGATAGAATAATAAAAAATGAACGAAGCTTTACCACGATAATATGATATTTTAAAATACAAGTAAAAAAGGTACAGGCAAAAGTTTTAATAAAGTTACATGATACTTCATTTCACCTGCAGCGCTCCTCGTTAGACAAGTTGAGAAAATACAAAATTTGCAACATTTATATTCGGAATTTGTACTGCGTGTATCCCAAGCGTCGAACGTCGGTGTCATTCTCTGATCGAAAAATGTCTTGTCTCGTTACTGATCTCATTATATGCGAACTAAATGTTGAAACAGATATTTGTTTACAGAAGAATAGGCAGTGCGCAATAAAGTTGACCTATGGCTCCAGACGGGCCTATAAATCTTCCGTCGAATGCAACGTCGCCTCTCAATCTGTTAGCATCAAAATATTTTGCATATATCGATTTCCGACCTTCGAGTGTGCACGCAAATGCGGATAGCTGATGAGCCAATAATAAATCCTACATTCTTCATCGTGTTGGAACTGCATCTCAAAATCCAGTGATGCCACGAAATTTCTTTTCATGTAACTCTCATTAATTGGCCAACATTGAAAATATAGCTTTTATAAATGATATTTTATCATATAATCTAAATCGATCACTTTAGTACACATTGTATGAAAATTTTCGAATTAAAATACATTCCACTTCATGCGAGTATTAAATATTTTACTGGTATCGAAATTGTTTAAATAATACAAATTCTCAGAGATGGCAATTTTCGCCGGTTTTTATGTAAACTATCTTCGAAAGAGTTATTTTTTAAATTATATTTATAAATTTTGAATTCTTTGTTATTATTGCGAAATGTTCCTCTTTTTAACGAATTGTTTGCTCTTCTTGAACAGTCATTCTAGTTGTTGGCCTTTGGTTTAAATTCTAGAAAATTTGAGAGAATATCTGTATATTTTTGTGACTTTCCAGTTTTAAATTTCATGTTATTAATTCATGTAGGCTGTAGACTTGTAGGTAGAACAGGCTGGCAAAGGCCGTAGTGTATGTAAATACGTATAGCGATTCAGGTAGGCGTGTCACACGGTCGCCATTTCTCATTTGGTTGACTCGGCAAATCAGAAAGTCGCTTATAAGACCTACGAACGATATTAATTAAGCTGCACAATTATATACGTTAACGATAAACTTGCTGATCTTCTAATCCGTCGAGGATCATTAACCTTATTCATTTCATTTATGAAAGTAATGGCAACTTTTGGTAAAAGCAGACGGTTGATAAAACGAATCAGATTACATAGAAGTTTCAAATTGATTTGTTTGTATATTTTCATCTTCATCTATATAAGATATTTTTAGAAGATAATAAAGCAATTTTTGAAATAGCTAGAAATTAATAGCTTCCTTCTAAACACATATCATAACATCAAATTAAGTATTTATGGAAACTTTTACCACTAAAAAGTTACTATGATAGTAATGTAACTTAACAGTAAATAAATACACATTGAGACTAAGCAATAGTACTTTATTTCTTATCTGTATTTATAAACCAGTTCAATGCAAGAATATAACATAATAATTTAATGAGAATTCAAATCCTAATAATGAAAATTTAACAATTTCTGCTATGCTACGAAAGGTAGTATTTAGTATAGTTGAATCTTAAAAGAATATGTATATTTAAATTCATAGAAATATAGATAAACGTCATCTTTTAAAGTGCAAACACTTGAAATATGTCGATAGAAAGAAAGATGATTTTTTACTGCTTTCATAACGAAAAGTTCACGTATGTGCGTCCGATTTTTCAGATTATCATACTCGAACGTGAATTTAATATAGTGCAGATATTTTTGGCGGGATTTTTTACATAAATTATATGCTTATAGACACAAACGGAATGTCGGCGTAAGCTTGTCGTTTAACTTGGTAAAGAGAACGGGTTGATGAATAAAGTGTAAGTTCAAAATGGCATTCATCCGTGGCTTTTTATAGAGCCGTTCTTCTAAACGTCTAGCTCTCTGCAATGAGGTCTGTCGACTTTTGTACATCCTTTTCGTAACCATTTCGCTGCGGGGAGCAAATGAGATGGTCGGTTTGTAAATCTGACACGGCGTTGTGTCAGTATTCCTATTCATTCACAATATTACACAGAAATAGTTCTGCCTCCGCTGATAGAAAATAAGCGCGGTACCCGTGGAAGTTAAACTGTTCGTAGAAAAACTTTAAATAAAGTTCTTCGAAACGAAAAATATTGAACTGACCTAACCTATACCATAGGATGTTCCTGTCATTCGTATATAATATTTTTCTTAAGAATTTCTATTTTTCTTTGTACAAGAAATGCACATCATGTATTTTATATATATATATATAAAATTGTGATATTGTCGCAAAATGCATACTGCCTCGATGTATAAATAAATATGAATTGAAAACATTAGAGTATTAGTATTTTATTATTAATATTAATGATAAGTAGTTATTAGTTATTACAAGTTTGAGAAGAATTCAAGTAATATAAAAGCAGAGGAGATTTTACTGATAAGACACAGTTATCTTTAATATATTTCCTACTTCAGATTCAGCAACCTCCATTCTTGTGTCCTTGTTACACTTTACAATGTGTTTTGATAAATTGTGCTGTTTATTAACCGTTCATAGAAAATATCAATCTTTCGTAAAAGAAATATTCAATCAAATATTACATAAATGTATGACTATCTTAAATAATATTTACTTTTCGTTTCAATTAATCAAATACTTTGAATTGTTTAGCCTTTTAATGCTCCCTCTAATTTGCAGGCTTTATTCGCAAGTTGTTTTTAAATAAAGCAGAAATGCATTAAAGGAAAGTTTGAATTGACGTGCGCATGCACCTATTTTCAAAGTTAATTGCATCAGGAGGAGTTCATACGAAAACACAGTACTTCGTATAATATTTATTGAGTTGTCCTGGGAGTTTCGACCTCTTCCTCGTTGCGTTTGAACAAACCTATACACAGGTTCTAATGTTAGTTCATTTTTTCGAAAATTTTGGAAATATTTGTAGATAAAATATACTTTCTAGTACTGTTTTAGAATTTGAAAATCTATTCTATGAATAGAATAAGCACTAATTAAAAAACTAATTTTAATAGAGCTGACTTTTTATTATTTATTAAAACACATATTTTTCTGTTGAGTAAATATAATAAATTCGTATAGAAATCATTTGCTGAGAGAAATGAAAATTGTTTTAACATTTACTTTTCGTATTCGATATTTGTAAAGACAAATTACACAGGTTTACCAGGTACACATTCGGTTGCTTAAAAAAGTATATCAAGAACCGTATTATGAAGATCAAGTGATGCATTTCAAATAAGCCTGAATCAAATGTCAGGTATTCGGAAGTTTCAGAGTTCCAAGGATTCATATGTGAAAAGATACTTTCACGATCCCGCCCGATTTCGTCCACATTTCTTCGACCTGATCTACTTGGGTATTTGACATATCGGAGTACTCGCTCTATGTATCAAAAACGTTGATTTAGAGAACTCACTTGTATATACCTAATCATTAGAAGAAATATTAGAAATTTCCGATTTCCTAGCAAAAATAATTATAACAAAATATAAGGTTTCCTTTAGTAAATAAGTGCTACTAAATTTATAAACGTCTTAGCATAATGCATGTATGCCATAAGTAGGTATATCAAAATTGTTTTCCGTTAGGAACGTGCAAATCGTATTAAATGAAATAAAATTTACTGCGCGTTAATATATTCTGTGTATGTATACATCTCATTTAATTTGTCAAATATCTATATTTTCAATTGTTCTTAGTGGTATATCGAATCTTGCATAGAGGCCTATTTAACTATTCTTTTTATACGTATCTACTTTCATAAATATTTATTAATTTAAATGTATAATAAATATTTATTAATTTTCTTTTCGTTACGTATTAATGATATTTACGATGTAACAATTCTTACAAAAAAGTTGGCCATCTTTTCCTGATTTACCGTGTTACTTTAAATAAAAAGACGATAGCATACACTAGACACGATAACACAATTTTTAAGGAAACATTTGAAGGGATGCTCCACATAGGTCTTGCATTATCCTTTTACCCCAGTCTTTTGTTGCCATGGGCTTTAACCTGAATAATGTTGAAATATAATCTTCCAAACTTTGCTTACATTAGTTCTTTACTTGTCTGTACTTCGTAGTGCTTTAAAATTTAAGAGAAGTTCTCCGTGTATTTAAAATATCGAAGGTGGTGATTCATATGTGTGTGTGTTTGTGTGTCACGAGTAAATGTTAGAGGCATCTATAATATTCTAGAAAGATGCTACGTGCAAATAAAATCAATAATCTGAAATATTCCAAACGTAATCGAAGATATTCATAGCGACGAAGGAATGTCCTAGAAAGTCTGCGAGTGCGATGCATGTAAGTATACATATAGTGGAAAGCATGATTCAATTTTCATAACATAATATAAACATATATTGTCATCGCAAAGCAATTTTTTAAAACTTGATTGGTATTTCGCGTAACATAAACTAAATAGTTCACACAGGTTCAATAATATGAAGTGTTTGATTGTCAGAATAATTTGACTTTCCGAACTGTCGACACTCTGCTGCAATAATAATATAAAACAAATGTAATAAGATTGTAGTAATTTTATATTAATCAATCATAAACAAGAAGGAATCAATAAATATCAGTATTCGTTGCAACAGTTCTCATGTGATACGCGAACGGAGATCCAAAGGGCTGAATCTCTTCGCCTTATCAATCAATAGATGAACCTGTCTCATAATCTGTATAATAAGTAAAGAAACGTACAAAATTTGGGAGACGAGCCAAACAGTTTTATTACTCAACAAGCAATACTCATAGATTTCACTTAAAAACAAAAAGATTATGTTGAACTATGTTCTTGCACTCATTGTCGGAGCACGAAGTTTTATAAATCAGTTTAGTGTAATATTATAAAAAGCTTACAGTAAGATTTCAATACAAATTACAATTAATTCCACATTTATGATCAAACCGGTAAATTAATAATACTTTAATGGACCTTTCTATTCACATTCGTATTAAGATGAATCAACGAAGCGTCAAACGACAGAAAGTAATAAGCGGAGAGGCTAATTTCGAAAGAGTGAATTTCTATTGATTACGAACTTATTAAATCAATTGGCGTTATTTCAACCTACATTCCGATTATCAATTGTTTGCATCTTGAACGAGAAAGGGAACCTTGTTCTCGAAAGTGACACACAATTATTCGCGATTGAAACAAGCTTTGACAGACGGTGGTGCCGGGGAGCATAGACTTGTGTCTACCTTTGTAAAGGTCGATTCATGAGAATATCTAGAGAGTGGATCGGCGCACACCAACTAGATACTCGATCTAATTAATCAGCGACGCGTTATTTCATGACAAGTATGCACGTTACACCGCATCATTCAGAAAGTACCAATCAGCACAAAGCGAGCAGTAACATAGGTCGACTATGCGCCTAATTCTTAGTCTGTGTACGACTTATGTAAAGTAATATATGAAAAATCATAGGAAATAGAATAAAATAAATAACTATCACTGTTCTGAGTTAGACAATAATGATTTTCAATGAAAAAGTTAACAAAAGTTTCGTAATATCTGTTTCAACAATTGTAAGGTACCAAGTTTTCTTTAGAGGATGTGTATTTTCTTTTCATTATTTTATCATTCATGTAATTTCTTTGTCTATAATATTTGCAGTGTTAAATCTTAAAATTCTTTTTCAAAAATATATGAATCAACGAGATATGAATTAGGTGAAATGTAAACAGAAAATCTTTGCTTTCTGCATTGTAATGTTCGATATAGAATGTATTTTTCACACATATTTTATGACAATTGTTAAACCTGAATTTTCATTTATTTCACGACAGATGTCTGGAAAACATGGGTATAAATTAACCCAGCGCGATATTCCGAAGGTTAAATGGTAAAACGGCACAGAAGCCGATAATATGTTTACTGTCTGTAATTATTCTTCCGGTTAAAGCAAGAAAACTTACAATTAACATAAAATATTTCTTTTTGATAAGCCACTGTAGAAATGGTTTTTCCTTTATTCATACTTATTTTTCGAACATGATTACCGTGAAAGTATTTTTTAAGATACAATGATCTCTGTATAATTATACGCGATTTAAATAATTGCCCTTATACGAGAATCGACCAATTCAAATGAGAGCAATACCATTTTAGAAACAATTACTTACCTTTGTATCTTGTGTTGTTATTATTGGACTTTGAACTCGATATTATTTCTGGAACATACGAAGAAAAATATATTAGGAGTATTCGTAGTTACAAATAAAAATGTACGAACAAGTTTTCTGGTTTATAATTTGTAAAACTTCTTATATTTAGTAAAAATTAACGTTTTTCATAATCATTGATAATGTTATAAAGGTTTTATATCGTACACACGATGATCAACTAAAACATTCAGAAGAAAAATATTTTTTGTGATCATAAATTAAAATGTTAGATTTTTTTTAAACCGCCAGCGACTGTTAAATGATTCTGTATAGAAAGTAAATTCTGTAGGTTTAATATTCAGATTTTTGTATTAATTCTAAGTTACAAGGCTCTAAACTCTTTGCTTCATCCCGAGTTTGTAAATTAAAGTTTACGCGTATTATGTTTACAGTGAACTCAACATATTTTCAAAGGTAACTATGCATAACGGGGGAAATAAAATACACTTCTTTATGAAGATAGTTGCGTAGTTACGGCGTGAACTCGACGAACCTATGTTGCTTACTACGCAGTTTCACCTAATTATCTTCATTATTTTTAGCTTACGAAAAAACTTGAGCTTAAAAAAATACATTGTTCTTTTTTAAAATAAAATTCTATATTGTTTCATATTTTTCTATGTTCCATATTTTTATAGGAAATGAAGCAACGTAATTTAATGACCTTAACAATCATACTTATATAATTTGACCGACCATCCACAACTAAGGAATACACAATACAATCATATACATAGATAATCATCTGCATAATTTAAAGTAGTTGCCAATAGCGCAATGGAGTTGGCGCAACTTAATATATACAGTAAAAAAAATTTCTTTTAATAAAAAAGATCATATTATTTTGATCATACAGTTTCGGAAAATTTACGATAATAGATCCTAATGTTATCGAGGTATTGCTGACTCATGGATCTCTACCAACATGAATGTTAACACGTTAAGTGCCGCACGATTTATATAATATTAAATTATTTGATTGAATTGCATTGTTATTATTGCGAGTTCGCCTAGCTGAGTGCCACCGCATTGGCTAGCAGTATTTATAATATAGAGATGTTTTCAAATAATCATCTTTTAATTGAGTGAACTATAGTAATTCGATTTATTTGGGGGTCACCGATGACCTCCATGGCAACAGTATATTATATGTATTGTATATACACTTAATTTAGACAGCAACGAGTTCAAGAATACAGGTAATTGTAAAAAAGTAACTTGTAGTACTTACCATAAACTTTGATACTGCCGTCAGTATCTCCTAATGAGTTTTTGGAAACACATTTATACGAACCAAAGTCTGATTGGCTGACGGAACTTATAGTTAGTCTCATTTCGACTTTGTATGCGTCGTCCAACAATATTGGTTTGTATTTTTCTCCTGGAAAACAACGACGTTCTTAAAAACTGACTAGTAGAACAGTTAAAAAAAGTACGAGATACAATCATAGTAAATTATTCAGCATTAAATTAAGTTGAATGCAAAATTTCTGGAGTTTTAACTTGACAATTTTCCCGAACTAGAATATGTAAAAGAAAACATATATTTAGAAGACAATAGACTCCGAACAACTGGCTAATTCATTTTATAACATCTTGTTTTGCGATAGTAACTTACGATATGAACAAATATTAAGCATTTGTTATAAAATGTTTCACATAGACAGAGTTATTTCGTCGAAATCAATAGTTCGATTGCGCCATTTAAATAATAAGCATTGTTATTATGTTTATATTACTATATTTATATTTGTTTCGTTTAAAAAATAAACGACTCTAATGTCGTTATACGAATGTAAATTGTTAATTTTGTTTGTATAGTAATTATTCCTAGTATTAAATAACTGTTTCAAAATAATCTCATTACATTAGATAATAAGATTACAATAATGTGTTCAATTTTTAATGAAATACGACACCTATAAAACCTTATGGTAGATCGAATATGATAGTTTTGAAGGAATAATAGGAAGAAAAATGAAATTGCCGGTAAGTCCGATTGATCGATCGTACGTATAATTTAAACAGGATTTTATTAGTCCTTTCGAATATAAGCGATCGCGTAACGTACAACACGAACCCAAGAATTTCTGAAGCTATTGAAGGAACGTCACAATAGTTCAATCAAGTTGAAAGATAGTCGCACTTGTCCCCTTGCCTGGCTTATTTTAGTATTCGCCGTGCACCAGTTTAAGTTAACGTGATTTCTGTTTAGATCGACACCATTCAGACACGTTTCCGCCTTCTGGCTCGTAAGATTTTAGATTCTATCCAACGATGGCGCTATCTTCCACGAATAGAAAGGTTACGTGGATGCAAAGCGAAATAATGGAAGCAAACCATTATTGCAAATTGAATAATCCTCGAAATATCTTCAAATCAACTTTATATCGATCGAATGTCTTCTCCGTGATAGGCTTCATTCTGAATTAAAGGCTGATGTTAAACATAGGCTAACTATAGGCCAGCTCGAGAACCGATAATTGTTTTAATTTCATGAAAATTGAACTAGTCTCTTGATGGAAACTTGATAAATTACTGTAAGTGCGTTTAAATGTAATCGTATTACGATGCTCGGATTTCCTTCCCGATGAAGACTTACTAGTAAAATAATTATTCGAAGAGTTATACGAAGAATTGTTTATAAAAGTTATAAGGATCAGATATTTACCCGTAGCAAAGAATAAACCCGAGATGTAATTACTAATTACGTACTTTTTATTTCATAAAGTTATATTCTAAAAGAGTATCTTTTTTATTTCTAATCCGAAGTAAAACTTGTCTAATTTTCATCATTGTTATTAAAAATCTGCATTTATTAATATTAAGAAGATAATAATACTTGTGATTTAATTATATTATTACTACAGGTTTTAGATAATTCAAGATTTTTCTCCAAATGTAAACAGTTAAACGAAAAAAGAATTTGGGAATGAAAGGAAGAAGTGAAATACTCGTTAAACTATCTATTTGAATGCTTTTTTCATAATCTAATACAAACGTTACATTGCATAAGTTTCATATTCGATATATTTAATTAATGTGTTACCTTAGTGAATAAAAATGAAGAAGTATTTTAACCATAGCGTGCAGTCGTTTCAATAGTTGAAGGCAAACGGAAGAATATCTAATTTTTATCTTGTAAAAGTATATGATTATAGTGTTAGGGAACTTAACATACTAATGAAGAAAACTCATTCTGATCGATTCTTTTTGAGCTACATATTTTGCCATTTTTCCGCAGTCAAACCGCTCGAAGTGACAACCTTCGGCTCGAATATGTGAAGAATAGTGTCAAATGCAGTTTGACAAATACACAAATAAACAAACCTCTTCAATGTGCTTTCGGAGTATGTCAACGTTATCCACAATTGTGTTGTGAACCGAAAACTTTGAACAATGGGTGCAACACAAAAACATTAAGGAAACTGGAACGCAAGATAATGTAAACGTGACATTATGCCCATATACTGTGGTACACGCTGTATAATTATTTTGTCAATTTATTGTTGCGTGTACTGTATCCTGTCGCGTACCCAATATGATACTTCGGTTCAGTTTCCTCAGATTTGCTTTAATATAAAGCGTTTTCGCTCTTGTTATACGGCTGCCTCATTGTGCTATATAAAAACTGGTTGAAACAGTGAATTTTATAATTCAACAAATACATAAATAAGGAAACTTTAATATAATTGCGTATAATTTGTAAAACATGTAGTATACTATTACATGCTTGAACTTTTTATTATTTAAAATATTATTCAGGTAAATGTGTTGAAGTTTTAGTAATTTCCTAATAGTTCATTTAATTTACTTTTTGCAACGGTCGTAATGTCTATAGGTTCATAATACAGAAATGTAGTTGCAACTGATATTAATAATTAAACGGTTTTTAAAAATCTGTTTAGATCGAAAGAGTATTAAGAATGATTATTACCAATATTTTACCATTTACAGCCTGACAATGTCTCACGTTAACTTTTCAACTTACGAGACAATTGGTAACACTCATATTCTTCGAGTAAAAATTATTCTTTACTGTTTTGTACATCGGTTATTTCAAAGATTGTTAATAATCCAAATTTATGTGTGCAATTGTTGCAACGCATCAAGAAGCTTCGAGTAATTTTTAAAAGCGTTCGTAAGCAATTTGAATGCGTCGAAGACAATAAAATGCTACGAAACGGTTCTTTCACTACCAGCGAAAAATCGGTTAAAATAAGAACCGATAAGCACCAGTGCATTGTGCCGGTGAGCTCAGTCTCTCGATGCAAGCCCAATACAAATATCTGGCATATCGCAAGTATGAGCTTCGAAGAAAACATATTTCTACGATGAACGTTTTGACATATCGCATTCGAAAAGTGTGGACGTTGCTATCTACTGAAATTTTCCTGAATTTAAAAAATACTCGCTAATGGTAAACATTAGAGCCACTACTAAATAAGAGCTTCAGAATACATTCAATAAATGTACTTTCAATCTGTATTTACACAGTTTCTTACGAAGTGAATGAATTGTGACGAAGATATCGAATTTACGATTCTAAACTGAAAAAGTATTTTTTGGTGAGAAAAAATTCAGAATTCTCAAGAGTAGGTCGCAACTTACTCGAAGATTCATTGTTCTCTCGATAACAATAACTTCTTTGAAATATTATGTAAACCTGCGTTATAAATTTAAATCGTTGCACGCTAATATCACCACTTATTTAATTACGTTGATATGTAGTTGGTTAGTATCTTGTACCTTACGAATATCTCTGCAGTTGACTACATAAGTACCTAAATGTGAAGCAGAGATAGATATTTTATGAATGCTTCAACGATACACTCCCCAAAATATCATTAATTGATATAACATCCTATCGTAGATAATTAGACTGCGCCAACTCTCAAATGCAACAGTTCCTCGCGTCTACTGCTAGGCGAGCTTCTAATCCAGCGACTCCTCCTCGCCGTTCATTGAAATTCAGAAGCTCTTTCACACATGCTACTACACATTCTGTAACTTACTAGCGTTACTATATGAAACTTCATTACTATCGCATAGAATATGAATTCTTAAACGCTGCCTCTATTCAATTATCCGCCATATTATCGCGTCTACGTATCACACGCAAGTCCATTAGCACTATAATTACTGCATATTTAGGAAAATTGATGTAATCCTTTATACAAATAAAGATTATAGTGGCTATTTATTATTTGTAAGTGGTAATACTTATAAAAATTATTTCATTTATCGTAATATAATTTTTTCAAATAACTTTAAATACAAACATCTTTATTATTTCACTAATCGTAAGACGAAAAAGATAAAATCAATTTTTGATATCTCAAACTAATCATTTTTCGATAAGATAATTCGGTTTGTATAGTAAACTATAAATTTTTATTAAGAGAAATAATGTAGTGGTTGTAGTGTGCATATATCCTTATTTGCAAGAATAGACATGGCTTTGAAAAGTATTATAGTACTCCGTAAATTACTTATCTTCTATTTCTGCAAATTTGTTGTAATTGCTTTATGAAGGAACACGACTTGCAACAGTTGCGTGGACCACTCTGTATAATACGGAAAAATTAACTAAATTCCTTAGGGTTAATCAAATTTCTGCCTTAATGACATTCAAACATTTACAGTGAATATTGTGTATGCGACCTTTCGGCTGCTAGTATGGCTGTACGACCAAAATGCACATTGCACGTACTATTATTGCTTTCGATACAGATGCAAATACCGTCTAGTCTAGCGATGTAATAATGGCACCAGGGAAGACCCGGAGCCTGTCGTTTCGGTCTTTATGTATATACATACTCGCATTCTCGGCCTTCCTCATAAATGCCAGATAAAATCACGTTATACCTTTAACGTTCTGTTCAGATTCGCATGAATTATTCAAGAGATAATTCGTTTCGAATAGCCGTTTGAAAAGGAAATCTGACAAAACATTTCCCTCTTAGTGTGATGTATCATTCAAGTAAACGCATTAGACAGTCGATTCCGCTCCTCCAGTGAATACACTTTGATGGAAAGGTCATGGGAATCTTTCTACAATTTTACGACGTTTAACACTAAAATTACCAGACGTGTCGAAATGACTCTGGTGTCTTTTTGGAATTATCGAAAAGATAACAAATGTTTCTCTGAGAAATTATTAAAGAAATTCATTCAGTACCATGAAAACTGAATTGTAAATCAATGAAAGTCTCAACAGATGCACTCTTCGAGTTTCTGTAGAGAAATTTCGAAAATTCTATTTAACTGCTCGGTAGTTTTGGTGATTAAAATTTATACTGTGTAAGTATTTTACAAAAATTATTTCATAATTTTCATAGATATTCTATTGAAATAGTCTACATTTTTAAAAATTAATTACAATATTGTATGATAATGAAATTGTTGCAATACACAACTGAAGAATTTAATATAAATTCTTCTCCTTGCTTACGTTCATCATTTACATTATCTTTATAAATATCTTTCTGATCCAATTTGTATAAATAAATAACCATGCTTTGTAGATATTTTGTAAACGCCAATTCTTTGAAATAACTTCAGTCATCTCGAAGCGTACGTTCAAGTACCTCACAGTTACGACCTTAAAAGCGATTGACGTATCGTAAACTCACGACGCTGTTCGGATCTATATATATAGTACATGTGACTCTGATAAAGTTATAACTCTTAGGTCCAATTTCTCGTAAAATCTGTGTCTGCAACGTTGGCGAAGAACAAGCATACACAGTACATGCAAAAACTGTTAACTGTAAACATAAAATTCACTGTTCCTGGATGATTTTTTCCCAGTCCTTTAAATAACATTTTAAACGAAGCTTATTCCAGATGAACTTCAGGAAGCAAAATAATAAATAAAAACTGAATACTGAAGCTACGTGGATTAAAATTAAGGGAAACCCATATAAATTTGAATAAATTATATTCGTAATAAAACTAACGTGTACTCTTATGTTAGTTGTGGAATTTAGTTGAAAATGTCGCTCGTTTTGCGCGCAATAAAATCAAAAAATGAAGTGTGTACTCGTCAGACGCAGGAGGAATGCACCTAGGGTATATTGTAACGAAGAACTAAAGCAAAACAAAGAATTAAATGTTTATCTGAAAAAATAAATAATTCATCGTTGAAAGAATTAGTATCATTTCAAGCTTTAAGATGACGCGTGTACTCGTCAAACGCAGTTAACTGATTAAATTTCAATTTCCTAAAATTAAGAAATTTGTTTAACGATATACCTACAAATATTACATCATAATAACACAATATATAGGATGTGGCAAATGAAACGTGCCAAAGTGATTTCTCAAAATCGCAGTAATTGTCGATTTAATTAATTTTTTGACTAAATAGAAGGAAGAGCTAATTAATTGATCTGTAAAATGTGGTCACTTTATTTGTATGCAAATGAAATTGCTTATTAAATTCTTTTACATGAATAGTCAATTCAATTTAATAATTTTAAATTCACATTTAAAACTAAACTTATTTGAAGTTCCTTTTTTATTCTGCACATTTAATTAAATCTAATTTACACACAACAAAAATATGGTACAATACGTTATTCTGAGCATAATTCAGTAATTAATACTATATGAATCTGATGCATCAGATACTATATTTTAACTGTATCAATTATTTCAACTTGTTGCAGTAGTCCCAGTACAATGACAGCAAGATTTAAATATTCGTACTCATCACATAATATATTGGAAAATATCGCAATCCACAAATATAACAAATGTTGCCGCACTATTAGAGTCCAGTCATTGTTTTAAAAATATACCAGGTTTATGGGCCCATTTTCGTTTATTATGTTTCCTATGTGGAGAATTCTGGTCAATGGAAAATGCATATTTACATCGGAAGCCGCAGGAAACTTCATAGGAACATTATTGGCTGTTTCAAAATTTAGGAGGCGTGGGAGGAGTCACTAATTTATTGAAAAGGAATATAACCGAATAAAAAGTTGAAGGTGCCCTTGAGCGAAAGTAAACCATCGGCGTACCGTTCAATAGCTTACCAAGAGAAAATATTTTTTGTCAAACCGTAAGAAATTTTAATTACAAGAATTTCTCATATTATCCTTATTTAATTCTACATAACAATTCAATACATATATAATAACTTTAAACCAAATTTGAAAACCGATCGTTAACACGTTGCACGTCGCACGATTTCACACAGGAAAATGCACAGGATGGAAAAAATATATTAAATCATTCGATCGAATTGCATTAAAATTCCACGTTCATCTAGCTGAATGCCACTGTATTACGTAGCATTATTTATAATATAGAAATGTTCTCGTATAATCATCCTTTCATTGAGAGAACTATAGTAATTCGATTTGATCGGGGGTCACCGGTGACCCCCATGGCATTCAACGCGTTAACTGCAGTTAGGAACCGATATATTTATCAGCTCATAAAAACATATTAAAATCGAACTTCTAGAATAGAGCGGTTCTTCTATTGTGAACCAGAGTCGGTTGGTCATAGCTTAACGCTGGTATAACCATACGTTAAACGATTCATCAGGTCTTAGAGTACCTAATAAAATGGGTTAGAACCAGAAGCACCGAGCGCAGAAGGATGGTATCGGGCGGTGTTGTGCGTCAAAATGTGTTTGACCCAAACCGCGGGTAAGTCGTGAGCATATCGTGATACAGGGAAAATGTGGGGATCTGAAAGGAACCGTGGTGGATCGATGGAAAGTACTAAAGCCACCTTTTATAGACCGGGCATAAAGAAGAGCGGAACGTTTATACTCGTGCTTCGTCGGTACCCGCGTTTATGCGTTCGGCATCAAGGTTTCATTATTCAAAAGACTCGTTACAACTTGTTACTTTTCTTTCCACGGAATACGTTATGCGGCAAGTGTAAGGGACGTGAATAGATAATTGTACCCTGCAACACACGAATCTACGGGAACACGGAAATGTGAATTATCGATAGGAACGGTAGGATACGGGAGCGAAACTATTCGGACGCCGGTGTGTGCGTAATTGAAATAGACACGAAATATACGGCGGGACTTAACACTAGTACTACCGAAGCTGTCAAAAGACACCATTTGGAATTTTAACGTCAGAGTATTTTCAATTTTCCCATTCTATGAATTGCAGGCATTGTAATTTTAAAGATTTTGCTAAAGCAAGGAATTCAATTTATTGAGAATGACACCTCGATGGTACCGAAGAGTCATAAAAACGGTGAACATACGGACAAATTTAATTCAATTTACATAATAGTTCACAATGTGGCAAGTTGTTAAACTCGTCTTAATGTCAATTATAATTTCAACTTCATGATTACAAAAGAAAATATTAAAGTGAAAACATAACAATCAAAATGGTCTAAAACGGCACTTTCCTTAGTATTCTTAAATGCATATCCAGAGAACACAGAAACTCATCTTATTGTTAGCCATTCTCTTTCGCTTTCAGCTGCAGTGGAAATAATATATATTCCAAATGAAACACGGTATACTGTATGTATACTCCGTATATCCTGTGTACCTTACATTTACATCTGTTATCAGATCATACATCACATGACAAAATGAAAAATATTCCATTTTCGTCAAATTTTTCTTTCATTATATTCCAATGATTGAAGTGTATAAGATTAAATAAAATTTCGAAAAGAAAGATATTTATATACATTTTCAAAACGGTTTGCAGTGAACTCTGATAACACTTTTCGAGTCGATTCGAAATTTTCAGTCTGAATGACATTAGTACTCTGCAATTCTCTCTCTCTCTCTCTTATAATCTGCAAACATTAATAATATTACCTGTCGATTTTCCTTCATAAGTGAAACTTTGTTATAAAATTAGTCCATCTTTAATTGCAACCGAATATCAAGGTATTATTAGAGTCTGTAGATTGTCTTTCATTAATAATTATCCAGAAACTTTTATTTATATTACTCTATCTAATGATTCTGCCATTGTTCAAATCTGACTATTAATTTTTCTTTTACATATCGTTTTGTAAACATGTAAATGTGTACATTATATTATGGTTTTTATCTATATGACATATATTATATTTACACATATATGGCTACAGTCGTGTGATCTTTATAATTTGTAACAATTTGTAACTTACCTTGTAGAACTATTGCATCTTTATCTCTCGTCCAATAATTAATTGATTTAGGATAAGCTTCTGAATTGCACTTTAAAGTTAATTCTTGTCCTTCCAAAGCACCTACTAATTGATGTTCTACCTCAATCATAGGTGGAACTGGAAAAAGCAATCGAGCATATATGTAATCCATTGTTGTATGAGATATATATTAAAATATCGCAATTAAAGGTACTAAATTCAAGCAGCAATTTAAGATGGGAAACAATATTTTAAATAACATATATTATAGCTGTTATAATACTATATTTTTTCAGAAAATACGCACAAATAATAAAATGAATCTTTTTGTAGTCGTATTTTTGAAAAAATTATTCTCAAAAATTTCTCTAGCACACACGTGTATATGAAATTAATTGTAATATTTAATAATAGGTTAAGCCCCTTTGAATATGTATTAAATTAATGACTCCTTAAAATAGAATTCAGTAATACATATATGTATCTGAAAAATATTGTTGAAAATAAGATCTTATAATTGGAGTATTGTAATTGCATAATTATAATTAATAGCAATGATTTTCTTTGAAGATTTTTTTTGTTGACGAATAGAATACATTTTCATAAAAATTCCAGTTCATATTCAATGTTTCTTTTACAAATATTCATCAATGTAAAGATGTTATTCATTCGCTAAAGCAATAATCGTTAATCCTTTCACACTTCGGATATGAAGAATGAAATGAGTTATAAAAAATTTCATGATAGGTACAAAATTATACTCACACTGTACAGTCAGCATAATTCTTTTACTGACTGACGGCGGTACACGATTGGATGCGATGCAGAGATACGACCCCATGTGCAATCGGTTTACTTTAGTGATATTAAAATTTGGTCCCTCAACGCTGGTAACTGCAAATGAAATTTCAAAATTAATTCGTGGCCGTTTGTGTACGTTTGGAATTGCAGTTGATTTTTCAATCCTTCGAGATTGTTGTTTAACAGGGTGTACTTGAAAAATCAGTCCTTTGTTATGCAGAGATAAAATAATATTCGATAATACTGTTTATTGAAAAGAAAGGGGTTAAATTAGATTATAGAATTAAAAATAGGGTGATGGGGAGTGACAACTAACTTTATGATAAACTTGAAGAATTCTAAAAAGTGTACTTTTGTAATTAAGAGGTGAAATTGTTTGGATAAAAGATATAATAACAAAACTATCGCTATTCTTGTTCTACACTTTATTCATTTAGATGAGAAAAATGAACAGTTTATGTAAAGGATTATCTCCAGTTAAAAAGGTAACACAATTACGAATTTATAGGAATATGTTTTATAAAAATGATTAACTGTTCATTTATTTTTAAAAGTACTGCTTCAAAAAGTTGTATATTCTTTTATACAAAAGGAATAAAAATAATAGAAGATAGTTAGACTATCCAAAATAAAGAATTCAACAATTCGTAACACAATGACGAATTTATAGGAATGTGTTTTATAAAAATGATTACCTGTTCATTTATTTTTAAAAGTACTGCTTCAAAAAATTGTATACTCTTTTATACAAAAGGAACAAAAATAATAGAAGCTGTATTTGGAGTCTCCTATTCTTTTATTCTAAAAGCATTTTTGGTGGCCAATATTTTGTTGAAGTTAGACCATCCAAAATAAAGAATTCGACAATTTCGCGATTGCGTATTAAATTATTCAAGATCCGATGGCCTAGATGTTTGAAAAATCAATTAAAGGCGAAGTGATAATATTTAAATGTTAAAGTATCGACTTCCACTTTCAACACCGATCGTTTATAAACATATGAAATAAAACCTAAGTTTCGAAGCAAAAAGGGGCTTTTATGGATTTTAAACTGTTCTTTAAACTACGTTAGCAAAGTTTGAAATAAAACGGTTCAATGATTCTTTAAGTATTACGAAGTACGTTCCTTGGAGTATATTTTCAGTTCTTATAACATCGTCGGTATTGGTTGAATTGGTTTGAAACATTCAAGGAATATCTTCATAAAAGAATAGAATTTTTATTTTAACATCGTTTCAAGGTCATAGTACCTACACTGAATTAAATGGTCTGTTACGAGTAATAACAAAACTACAGAGAAACAGTTTGTGATCGTTTAATTAACAACGTTTTTAACCCTTTGCACTCGAGAATATTTTTCGCAACGAATATTTCTTATTTTATGATGAAATATCAATGGTATTTTTTACAATTAATATGAAGGAATACCTTGCATAAATTAAGTAACGGAACTATTTTATTTTCGATGTTCCATGTGTTGGTAGATTATAGAAAATTTAATATTGAATTTTTAATTTTATAATTTCGTTGGGTTAAATCAAATGGCGAGTGAAAGGCGCCTCTCGAGTGCAAAGGGTTAATACAAGAATAACTTTTATTTACAGGAATGCTTTTATTTATAGAGACGTATGGTATACAACGACACTCGGATTTCAAACGCACCGAACGCTTTTTGTCTCCAAAGTTTAGTGAAGTTACACTCTCAGACAGTTTGGTATACGACCGTGAAGTTTTTGAAATTGACTCGAATAACTTTTTCACCGTCAGTATATTTCCTAGTACCGCTATCACGAATACGATGAAATCCTGCGCCGAAATTTCCAGGTGTAATTTGTTTCGAAAAGCAATCAAACAAGCATTTCGGTACACAAGTCTTTCTCTCAAATTTTAATCACATTTTTACACAAGTTTTACACTGCTTTTAGGAATTAAAAGGCACAATTAATTTTAAGATATGCAGTTCATGTACTGATCTCGATAACACGAACAAATTCAGACAAGAAATTATTTTAATGAATTAATGCTATGCAGGTATTAATAGTCCCAATACTTTTGAATGGTATATAGCAATTTCAATATTCATTTTTTAAAGTGACAGTTTTATTGTTAGAAAAATTAATTCAATAGATAACAGATGTTTCTCTGAGAAATTATTAAAGAAATTATTTGGCAATGCGCAAACTGAATTATAAATCAATTAAAGTCTCGATAGATGCACTTTTAAAGTTTCCATAAAGGAATTTCAGAAAGTTAATGTAACTGCTCGGTAGGTTTAGTGTTAAACTTAAAATACTTAAAAATACGTTAAAAATGAAAGTGTAACAAATTTCGTTTATCAAGAGCATAATTATTCATTAATTGCAAATGTGCGGCTTAATGGAATTAATTCGTAGATTAATAGAAATTCATTACGGAATAATACATATATTTATACAATGTGTATAAAGGTCCATCGAGTTAATATATTTAATTAACCCTCTATAAGCCCGTGTAACTTTGAAGTCACACATCAATAGACTGGGTTAAATTGATTTATTTAATTTTTTATCGCAAAATGACGGATGAAATTAAATGCTTAATCAGCTTGAACTTTTATACACGCAGGCGTTTACGTTCAACGTCATTGTAACTTCAAAGTTACAAAATATATTCGTTTTAATAAAACTATTAAAACTATTGAATACATTTTTAATTTGTGTGCATGTGTTGATATTTATTAATTTCATACTGCGTGAATTTTGTTAGAATCACGAAACCAAATTCAGCCCATTGAGGGTTAATTTATGCAAAGTTCTGCAACAAAAATGTATAAATTGTTTAGCGTGTTATCGTATGAGTATGTGACAATTTTTATCAAAGCGAATGGTTTTATTGCATTCGCAAGGTAACAGAGTACTTCAAATGAACTTTGACCATGTCAAATAGTTCGTTTCAGTGGAGAGCGAATAAACAGAAAATTACGTGTAACAGGCAAGTGTGGTAACACAGTTTTGGTGTTGTCTTCAGTACACGACGTTAAATTTGGTTTACTTATCTGAAAGTCAAGGCAGTCTACTACGCTTGTCCACTAACCACGCTTAAATGCTGAGGAATATTTGCTTTTAGCCAACAAGCTGGACAGAGTTAACTACGAAAGAACGAAAAGCATGTGGAACGAACGAATAAAGCGTTACAAAATTGTAATTAATGAGACATCTAATTCAATCATTTGAACAGATATCTCCGATATAAATATCAACGTAAATAACTGGACACATTTTTTATGTAAAAAGTGACAAACTATGTTTCACATAAAATTATATACTGAAACTGGATTGTGTGTGGAAAATATATACAAGTTAGATAAATATTGAGCTCAGTTGAATGTGTATGATTGATCAAATGATGTTTTTGGAAGAGAATCTATATTTATATAGAGTTTTTATGTATAGTTGTTATATATGTGTAAGGTAAATTTCTCAATTTTTATGGTTACGTCAGATTTCTCATTGTTGTGAGATTTGTGACAATCTGAAAAAATTCTGAAATATTTATAATTCGTAATTTAATATTTGTATATAATGATTTAATGATTGACTTTAGCCAAAATTTCCGACCATTTCGTAAGAACGAATAAAAATCGGGGTGAAGTCAGGAAAACTGAGATTTTACTTGAAACTGCATAACTTTGTAATAATCTAACATTAAACAAAAACATTGCGTGGTTTTACGCATGAGATTATGACCTTTTGAAAAAATACGAACTTTGCCAACCCTTAAGAAAGTATAATCATTTTCACACTTCGGTTTGCGAGATTTTCGAATGAGCTATATTAGTAATAAATACAGTAAGACTTTATTTTGAAAAGTAACATTATAAATGACACAATGCATTTATTCCTTATTTATAATCGACAACACTGTTTTCTGTATATAGATCTGTTTTTATTCTCTGTAAACCTTGTTAAAAATGAAATCTATTATATTTCAAATATTTTCTTCTTTGAACATTCATTAAATCAACTCTGAACTTTATTAAATTTGTCATCCATTTACAAGAATGAGTTGTTTAAATAAAGTTTATTTGAAACGTATTTCGTTTTATCAAATTTATGAAAATTAAGTAGAAAAAAATTATATATTTTAAATAAACTATAAAATATATATTAAAGGGAGTAATTCTTGTAATAGTGTGTTTGGTGGCAAAGGCACACTGCCACCCTGCATTAACCAGTTCCGAACACTAACACGCACCACAATATGGATCATTAAAGGAGCAAAGTTTATTTTATCCTCTTAGAGTTCGGAATTGAACTGACCACGAGGGACAGTGTTTGGGGAGTCTAGCCCCTATAGGTATAAGTTTTTTTAGGTGGAGGAGCCAGGCAGTCTGTCCTCGTTTTGGAGAAACTAAACAATGAAATTCTCGACAGAACTTTAATGGTCCATAAGTATTGCCGTCAATGTGTTAAAAATCATTTAAGAGAACAATTTTGTAGGATTATTAAACGTAGTAAACACGGTTGACCCTTTGTATGCTCTAATGTACAATGTATTATTATCTACTTCACGAGTACAATATTTGTTTATAATTAAAAGAAACTCGGAATCTGCTTCTGAAATCGTCCTCAAACATCTTCTTATCCCCCTTTTTTATCTGCGATTTAAAATTCCTATATCTCCAAAATTTATTGTCAAATTACGTAAATTTCTTCATTGTTCCATCACCTTGCCAAATTCATTACTTTCTCCTTCTTACTTTTCTATAAATTATCATTTTTTTACTTTTCTACTATTCTTCATTGTCTACGGTAACTTCCCTTCGTTATCACATTTGGTATCTTTCCGGTTTTTTCAACTTTATTCAACTCTCGCATACGTATCTCTTCCTACCATCAAATTCTTGTCTTACAACATCGTGTCAGATTAGCGACGAAAATTTCGAAAAGAAATTAAAATTGGAACGAATGAAATTAAATATTATAACATCTATTTTTACAAACATATTTCTTGCTAATAAATTAGTAACGACACAGTAGTCTTTTGGAGGTTAGTCGTGAAAGAAATTATAGCGCAAGGGGTTAACATGCCTGCATCTTATCGTCCATTTTATCGTACAAAATTTTCCTTTAGTTATTTCACTTCATTAATACAGTATACTGTTCATATCTTTAATATCATCTTCTCTGGTTTGACTTTCCTTTGTACTCCGCTTTCCATTTCTGTTCGTACTTCTGCTTCTTGTACACACCAGGCCATTCTGGCTCCAGTTGTTATCCCTCCACTTGGTTTCGTTTTCCTCTTCATTCTTTTAGCGGGTGGACACTTCCGTATAAATTGTTTGGAAATCTCCTTCCTCAGTTTCCCGATGCTTTCTCATTTATTCCAAAGAAGTATCTCTCCTTTCGTCTGTATTCCCCTTCTTCACTTTCTTTGCCCCCTCGTGCCAACAAGGCTTGTTTAAAAATCCTGGTACGCTTCATCATTTCTAATTGACTGCCAACTTATCCATTTGCTTTTCGCCATTAACTCGCGATATCGAATCTCTTGTCTCAGAATATTCTGAATCGGTCTTATTGTACTCCATTGTCCCGTCACCCTATCCAATATTCATTTGCTTTTATAAATTTTTGTTTGTTTTAGTACCTGCCATTGTGTTACTCCTTACCTGGTATGCTCAGTTTCTTCTGGTTTCCCTGATTTAATAAATTCTAGAGAAATGAGTTCTATTGTCCTATTTCTTTCTTTTTTTTCTACTATTCTTCGTTATCAATTAACGTGCGAACCTGAATAAAAGGCTAAAAGTATAAAATTCGGAGATCCGTATTTTGTAAATAAATTAAAGCTAACACAATAATGATTTAAACCCCTGTAATTTCACGCGCACTAGACCATATTTCATTGTAAACAAAATCCCTGACATCGGCAAACTGCAATTGATCAATTTGACGTGTAATGACTCCTATATAAAATAAAAATGTAACTTTTCATCTTCTTCCATGGAAAAATCGCTGCGCTCCCATAACCTCTCTACGGGGTAAAACTTGATCCTTTATACCCCAAATAAAACTTCTAGGAAAAATACAATTATTTTTACAACATACGCTAACTAATTTATCATTTTTAACCAAAATAAGTATCTTTATAAAAAAATGCTATTCTGACTGTCAACAAAATAAATGGTTATACTCTATCGATTTTATACTAGCGGCTTTGCCAAAAATAGTATACCTAAATGTCTTTATTATTTAAATTGTGTAAAAGATTTGTTTCAATCAAAGCTGCACTCGGTAATTATTTCGAAGAGTTATCCATTTGAATAATTTTGAAATATATTATATATAATATAATATAATGTATCTTGAAATATATAATATAATATATCTTGATTCCCGAATTTGTATCGTTACATTCAAGAGTGTATACTTCAGTAGATATTTTTGGAATCGTATATATTTTTTAAACGGGATCATAAAATTGTTAAGTCATTAATTGATATCAATCGTTAAACCGCACATAGAAGTAATTAAGTTAAATCAATGATGCTGGAAGACGATTGATTTAGCAGATATTTTAATTTGTAACGTTGAATTTGTATTGTAAACCTGGAATTTATAAGTATGATGTATTTCAATGCAGTATATTAAAAAGTACTACAGTTTTAAGAGAAAAGAAAAGCAGAAACTAATAGGAATATTTTTTGCTCGTACGTAAAAAGCATGTGCGCGAAGCGCATTACCTATGTAGATGTAGCATTCTTTCTGTTCGCCAATTTCAATGCAAATATAGGAGATCTTTCTCACCTTTGCAAACATATCATCACTGTCTAACTTATTGGCCTTGCTGGGACGCGGTCTATTTATCTTTCAGAGAGAATACGGGACTCGGTTACTGTACTGTGAATCTTAGAAGGCTGTGCAGCTTCACATAAGCATTTTGTAAACTTAAATCCATTTATCGAGACCGACAATTCAAGAACGATCAAAAAGTTTTTGAAATGAGATCATTGTATCTCGATTTTAGGTTCCGCGACTGTTTAAAATTATTTTATTCGCTGTCATTTACAAAGGAAAGTGTAAAAATTATGATTTTGTTTAAATATTCTATGTTTTTGAGAAATCGCGATCAAAATATTGCACATTTCTTTTCTACTCTTTCTTTAAGTTAAAGAATTTATCAAAATTTAATGTATACCTAAGCATTTTTAATTTTTGAGCTTTTAACAGTTTTAAGTAAATTTTGTATAGTTTTATTTCAAATCGCGCAAATTTGATTTGAAATTTCTTTCTGTGTTATCAAAAATAAACAATTCGAGTATCGAAATTTTCCAGCGTTTTATTCACGTATCGAATAAGAGATTAACCTTTATAGAACGTCTGTGAGACTGCTGCAAATTTTCATTAATACCTATTTCCTTCCTTGCATGGTTTCTAATCTTCTTATGCCATGTATATTTTAATTAGAGTCTACTGTTCATTTAAGGCCTTAAATACACATAAGAATAGTGTTTATTTAAGTATTTAGTATGACCCAATATATATAGCAAGTACAGTAAATATAGAGTTATTACGGTATAAATATGTTATAATTGCGTTTATTATATTAAATGAATATTGTTCATATATATAAAACACAGAATATATGTTTACATTATTTTCCAACGTTACTTAGATATATTAGAAATAACCACAATATTAACAGTCTGTGGGATTTTTTACAATAGTTGTGTAAATTTGAACGTCTATAGTAATTGGAGATTGATGTAAAGTGTACAATTATAATACTGAAGAATTAAGGCTTACCGTTATTCCCATTCGATAAGAGTATTAACTGATTATCCTCGCGTCGCCAACTGATGGTAGGTTCCGGTGATCCTGTCGCAGCACAACGTAAAGTCACGTTGTTACCCTCTGTTACTATCATGTCTGTACTAGTTTGATAATCCAGAATGTTCGGTGGAACTATTAATGACAAACAGAGATAAACGAATATATATATATATATTATAAACCATTAAACATATTTATTAATCAATTAGAATATTATTTATTCTAGAATAATAAATATTTTCATTATAATAAATATTAAATATTTTAAATATTTGTTTTATAAACAGGAAAACACTGTATTTTTTCATGTCACCCAAAAAGTAATAAATATTCTTCTCTTTTCATAACATTCTCTATGTTAAGTTATATTTTCGAACATATGAAAAAATATGAAAGTATGCATTAGCCCTTTGAACTCTATGGGCTCCACTATTCCACCAGTTATAATATTAAATATTTTAAATATTTGTTTTATAAACAGGAAAACACTATTTTTTCATGTCACCCAAAAAGTAATAAATATTCTTCTCTTTTCATAACATTCCCTATGTTCAGTTATATTTTCAAACATATGAAAAAATATGAAAGTATGCATTAAACTCTGAACTCTGTAGGCTCCAATATTGCACCAGTTATAATATTAAATATTTTAATGAATCTTGAAGAAACTACCCTAAAATTATTCGATTTTCAACACATCCAATCTTTGTGCTAAGAAGGAAAATAAAAGATCAAAGAAATGTTATATTTGTAATTTTCGCTAGGAATACCATAAAAATTAGTTGCAGTTGCTGATCGATTACAAAACAACCTGGAGTGCTAAGGGTTAACCTTCTGCAGCTCCCTGATTTCGCATCAGGTTCTTCCGCGCGTGACTCGATTCCTAGAGGCTCCCCAATTTCACATTGGATTCGTCCTCGTTGTCTATAATCCTAGCGGCTCCCTAATTTCGCATTGGATTCGTCGCGCACCTAACTAACAAATTGACTCCATATTCCAAGGGTGAAAATCTTCCACTTGACCTCTCGCGCTGCTCACTGCCCTAGCTTCTAAGAAAGTTATCATTTATTTCCAATTTTCACATAAAAACTGATTTATTAATTATTATTCGCTCTTATGAAGTGTAAGATTTTTTATTTAAAAATGTTGTTACTCTATTACTTAGAAGAAATTCCATTTCATACATTTCTTTATTTCTAAGTAAGATTGTAATAAATCTTGAAACTGATGATTTCATCATAATAAGAGAAAGTACGTTCCTTCGAATCTTAAAAATGTTAACAGAGATAACAGATTCGTATGCAAATGCAAAATAGTGTTTTCTCAGGTTGTTCAATTTTTCTTATTTTTTTCCTATTTTCTGATTAAATGATTACTGACATATATTTACTGATTAAAATACGTACGTCTTGGACAGTTAAAATAATTAGCTGATTAAAGAATATCTTTTACATGTATAAATGGAAAATAACCATCCTTTTTGATATTGATGCCAAAAGAAATGGAAATATTCGTTCGGACTTCTTTGAATGTACGTGTCATTCAATGTGATAGGTAAGTCCCTCACAAATTACCATTATTCTCATTCCATTGTCGGCCTTTTTCGAATTAAGGATAAGGAACACATTTATAAAAGTCTGAGGCATTCCTACAATGTCTCCGAAGTCCTCACTTCAGCGAGCAAGTTTCGTATTATGCGGGTTTCTTTTGTCTCGTAAGTTATAATTTCAGCCATACAGAATACAGATTTATTAGTTGTAATTACCACCTTCATTTTAACGTGTTATAAATTATGTTTCATGCAAAAGCATTTGCCGTTGGGTTTAAAGTAATTATATGTCACTATGGATTTTACTAATATTTTGAAATTAAATATATTTTATTCTTTTCACTCACAACATGTAACTACTGCTGTATAAATTTTCATTTTTCTAGAATTTAATAGAAAGAGATAGAATTTAGTATGTCTCTCATTATTAAATATCGTGTAGATATTATTTATAAACTGGGTAAATGCTGTATATCGCGTCGAAAATCGCAAGTAGTTGTAACTGCAGGTATATAGTGAAGTTTCACATTCGATTTTCTTCGAAACTAAACGCCGAATGAACAAATTTTATTTTATATATTTTCCTAGTTTTTTCATAAGATATCATTTTTCATCCGCTTAGCATGTCGTTCGAATGCACCTTGTATAATTGTTGAATTGAAAAATAACCGCACATTATATGATATAGTATATATATACACAATAAATATATTATATTTATATAATAAATATATAATAATTTATTATTTGAAATACAGATTTGCATTTCATCTATATTTAAAATTATGGGATATAATAGATTATATTTAGGTTATATTTTATTTCCTTCTTCTATACGCTTTTCTATTCTCCTTTAAAGTTTTACCAAAACAGTCTATTCCACGATGTAAATTATGTTAAGTGTAAAAACTACCTACACACAGAATAAATAAATCTTCATTCGATTAAATATCAAAAGGCACCCGTCGTTCTATAATTGTTATTAACATATTTTTCATTGGTATAATCATATACACCATGTCAAAGTAAAACAGTATGAAATCTAGGGGAATTCATCTATATTTTACTTCGTACTGAGAAATCAGTGAATATTCCTCTCTTATTCGTATGCACATTACAATACAAGATTGTCGTAACCCTTAACGCAACAATAACGTTTCGAAGTTACGCTCAACACTGCCGGCGGTAAGTACGTAGGTATATCTGGTCATCCATAAATTTTAGTATATCGTATGCGCATTCGTTTGCGTGGTACAGACACGAGCACGAGGCAGGTGAAATTCATTGGGCATACAATCTGACAGTTGGTGAAGTTACGTGTGTAAAGAGACGAAAGACGTATGTCATAACGGAAGTAACGATATCGTAAAGCGACACTAGTCTACAGAATTGTAATGCGTTTCTTTTACTTCTATTATTCTATTCTACTCTCTGTACAGTGTGTTTAAAAATTGGATTTTTCTATGAAAATTTATCAATATATTCACTGAATAGAAATGTTGAATTGTAGAAAATTTAGAGGCTTTTTGACAACTTGTAAAATGATATTAAACGAGAGTAGTAATATATTAAAGCGTGTTGTGATAGGTAAATAATAGTTGGTAATCATTTTTGTTGTATAATATAAAATAAATACAGATACTTAGAATAGTTTAAGAAAATGTTTAGAAACACCACATTTATGATTTTCACTCTTCTTGCGTTAGTTGCAAAGGAATGTTAATACTGCAATGTTTATGTAGTATTTTTCATGAATTGTGCGTGACAGAAAGAAGGGTAAGAGTTTTGTTTATTTTCTCATAAATTCAATTTGAAATTCATATCACGAATATCACGTTCAAATAAGATTCCACGCACTAGTGAGAGTCACAGGATATACTAATTTACATAATTACTAAGCACTTGAAATGACCGTTATACATCAGATTTGTAATGAATGAGTTATTAAGTTATTTAGTATAATACAATTAATCATTAATTAAAAGTACTACAGCTTAAAGCGTTTATTTAAACATTGAATGAAGAACTTAACAGTTATAAACAGGAATAAAGAGACGTTTAAAGGAATAAAATAAAGGTGATATGAAACGATTAAAAACACAATATTGTTTACATGAAGTATTATTGCCTTTATTAATTACTTCATATCGTCGTGTACGCAGAACCTTTTGGCGTTGTTTCGTTCACTCTTCGTTATACCTCATTTTCTTATTAATTAGTTATTCTATCTTGATTGTACTCATTACGTTAATTAATAAAGCATTGCTGAGCAAAAGATAGCATGAATCGTTCCTTCGTGCATATTTTCTTCTAAGTTAGATACGATGAAAAGGTATACGATAAAAAACGAAGTATGATGTATGAAAAATTTTTGGAACCATCCACTCTTTTGTCTAAATAATTTTTGATGAGATTAAAAGTAATGGATTCACTGCTAATCAATTCACTGTCATTCGAATTCGACATAACATGTCCACAAGATATATTGTTATACTTATATTAATTATATAAAAATTCATCGTTGGAAGGATTAGTATCATTTCAAGCTTTAAGATAACATTTATACATAACATGTCCACATATATTGTTATACTTATATATTATTATATAAAAATTCATCGTTGGAGGAATTAGTATCGTTTCAAGCTTTAAGATAACGTGTATACTCGTCAAACCCAATTAATTGGCTCCCTATTCCGAAGAACAATTTGTAATCGAATCAACTACATGTTAATCATCAGATAACATTTCACCCAGACCTATCCCAGACCTAACTCCGGTTACCCTTGAACGTGCCCCGTCCGCTAACTTCGCCTCAGAGAAGCGAGCCAAAACAATACACACACACACACACACACACACACACACACCATATACAAGAGAGCCGAGCGAAGTAAATCGTGTCAAGGAAACCTTATTTTCTCGTCAGATTTGCCAGAAGTGAAACCGCAGACATGTATCGGCAACTGTATATCTCGCGATCGGTCCTTTCCATTCGACCGTGCCCATTAAAGCCAACCTGACTTTCTCCCCAATTGACCTCTCCAGCTTCCTTTCTCTCCCCGAGCGTCGAATAAACGCGTCCCTCGCGAGTAATGCCTTACTGGGCTCGCCTACATACGAATCGGCCCGCAGGTAACACGGACACCAGGAAAGACGAAGAGGACAGGGAGGCGACGGGGTGTGTGGGGAGGTCGTAAGGGAAGGGTTGCTCGAAGGGGGATGAGGTCGATTTTATTCCGCCCTACGGCCGGAACTCGATTTGCGGTTGAGTGCCCGTATGGGTGATGCTGAATTGGCGGGTCAAAGCCACCCGGTCAGTCTATCGATGCCCTCCCACTCGTACTCTATCGCCGCTTTCCCCCCTCCAGCCACTCTCGCACACACGCTCGTTTTTCCTCGCTATATCGAGGAGATGCCCATACGCTTCACTTTACACACTTACTCTTTGATCTTATGATTTCAACTGTAACGCACTACGTGTTTTCGACCGGCTAATCCCATGTGATCGCGTTACACAGGTGCGAGCAATAGGACAGATGGAAGATGACGTACAGCGGAATGATGAGAAGTTGTCTAGGCA